TTGAGCCCTAAGACCCAAATAATGGCACGTCCTGTCAACTGTGTTTGGTCAAATGTGACTTTCATCGGTTCGTCAGTGATGCCACGAGACCTTATGACGTTCTTTAACTCGACAATACATCTCAACAGGGATAATTCATCGACTTCCTTGTAGTTAGTGATGTCGATCATTATTATGTCGGTATGACATGAGTGCGTCTAGCTGCCCTCAGCAGCATGAATTGCTGCTATCTCAACATTTAAATTGTTGACCACCATGACCTTGTAGTAGCGCTGTCCTTTGACCACATTTTTGGTGAAGCAAGGTCAGTTTTTCCTGCGCCTCATCAAGATCTTGTTGTATGAGCTTGCAAATTTTTTTATGCTGCTCATCTCCTTTTAGATTGAAAAGCATGGCGTTGACATGAGGTCTGTCGGCAATCGAATTCATTCGTTCGACAGCCGCCCTTTAGATGTTGCCTGAATGGGCGTAGGCTTCACGTGTGGTATCAAAGCCTTTCTCATTCTCAATCAAAATGTCCATGTTGAATGGAACGTCCGTGGTCGCTTCTGGTCGGGCCACGAAGTGCTATCAGGTAAAATGGGTTACCTACCGCTTGAACTAACACGATAAAAACTATTAGACCAATACAATATAGTCAGTGTTAGAACGTAGGCGCACTTGCGCAGTAGAAGTAGGAAGTAAAAGTAAAATATATCGAGTGTTGAGAACTACCTCCTTCAACACTACGACATGTATGACCAGAAACGGCAACTGCAACTTGACCATGTCAGGTCACACGTGGTGTACGTCTCTTCCTGTCCCATGTGACATCCTGTCACATGGCTTCCGTCCCTCACAGTCCCATCTGTCCACACGTCCCATTTGGTCGATCGTCCCGTCGTGGTCCCACATGTCACGTCGCACGGTAATCAGCCAATCAGGTGACACCGTTCAATGGTATAGCACTTGAACCTTAAAACCTGTCAAACACGATAGTTCCTAACAGTCAGGTGGCTCGAATCTTCACGTGCACGGTAGGTGCAGAGGAAGTCCTGGTCTTTTAGACGAACACATTGAGAAAAGGAAGGGAACAATCGAACTATATGTAATATACTTAGTTACCTGAAAAATTCTTGATTGAAATATATTACTTACAAGCACCAAATATGGCTACTCGCTCACCACACATTGCCGCACGATTGGCATCGATTGTCGGTTTAATTGGTTGATCCAAGGACCTCAATCGACCATTAATGGAGCGGTAGAGAATAATACCTTCGAATGTAATATTACATCAATACTTACTAAATAGGGTAAATATTGGAGAGCAGTATTTATTACGATAATATCCACATCGACTTCTTGTAGTAAGTGCACATGGAACGGCTCACCCCATTTCAGCCATGAACACGCCACTTCTGTTGCGTCCTTCTTGCTAGTCTCGCATCCACTATTGCAAGGCCTATAATTGGTAGTGCGATGCCAAAACAGACATGTTCGGTAGTCGAGCACAAGTTGGGAGTTTTATCTGAGTCTTGATGTGCTTGACGTTGTATGTGTCGGAACATCATTGCTGAGTTCTATGTTAGCCTGCACACCGTTTCTCGACGATGTGTCGTAATCAATAATGCCAGCAGCATATGTGCGTTGGAAAGCGTCGAGAGCGCTTCTCTAGCGGAAGCCTTGTTCCCTTGTCTTAGTACTGAGACAAAATCACGAAGACCGTCTTGTTTGGAACAGAATTTGCGATAGTGGAACAACTTTGACGTCAGTGACGGATGGCAAATGATTAGCGTAAGACCCCGATGCACTCATGTCATTGGTATGTCATTCGCTCATGCCAGTGTAGCAATTGTTTGTCGCGAAAGACTTTTGGTCACAGGTGCGTTTGTCAGCGAAGGCGTCAATCCATTGTTTACCGCGCCGAATTGGACCACGTAAAATTAGTTGGAAGGAGAGAGAAAGTGAATATATTTTTAGGAGTCGTCTTGAGCAATCACTTTTCACGACCACGGCGAGTGCACTCAAACAATTGTCAGCTTCACGACGTATACCCATGAGCCCCTTGCATGAGCAAAATGCCAGAAAACGAGAGCGCCAACCTCAATATATCAAGTACCGTCGCGTGACAACAGGGCATCAACTTGAACTTTAGCAAAAGTTCTCACTCATTCGTCAGTTGAGCACGCGAGCAAGCCACTGAAACCTCTTCACGGCGAAGTGCATCCGTCATGATCTTGGTCGCATGCTGGCGCGATTTGGCCAGTACAGTTTTGCCAACTCGTTACAGCCGAGCTGGGTCTTGCCCTTTCTGCACTTTTGCACGGATGCAACTCGGCAAGATTACAAAGAGAAAGTGCGAGAGAACAGAGGGCACGTCGCCAACGGATGGTGTGCTGACTTTCATTGACACGTTGTTTCAACTCGATGGACACTTTCTAAAATGCTGCATACAACCCCATGTTACTTCTCTACTTTATTTCAACGAGCAAGCGTCGACTGAAGCCTCCTCGTGGGGAATATAGGGAACATACCAAGGACAAGCTGGTTGATTGGACACATGACACAGAACTGGCAAACGTAGAGCCACCGCAGTCGATTCGCGGAGACAGACATCTGAACTGTTCGTATGGATGCTGACAAATCAACACGTTACTTGACTCGACAGACTCGTCTGGTTACTAACAGATCGGTACTATCGCGTGTCGTAAATGTAGCTCGTCGTCACAAGTTCGAGTATAGGCCCATGCCGCCTTTTGGCACTATCAACGACCCGATCATGCATATGCGATTCTCGGACAGCCTTGAGTTTTCGCTAATGTGCGTGAGCTTTGTGCCGTTGTCGTAAGATGTGCCAGTGCTTTGGCAAGCATCGATTTGATGCTTGCCCTGCAATTTGTGTACATTCTTGACATTGATGTGGTCCTCGTGCTACATTCGAAGTAGCTTGCATCAAACGGTCTATGACTCGAGTGCATTATCTCGTACTCGTCGATGACGAGTATGACGAATAACAATTCGATCAGCTCTTCACTGAGTTCAAATTTCGATTCCCCCACCTTTCTCGGATCATCGTTTCCTACTATTGCTTCTCCTCCCGCTTCACAGTGTTGCTAGGCCCATCATCGACGCAGCACGAAATGGAGAATATTGAACAGCCACACTATCTTCGTCCATCGAACTACCAACCATATAGCACCATGTTGCTTGCCACCTGGATGCATACATGCTCGTTGAGCGATATGTCGGGACTGGTCCTGGAATCTCAGAAGATTGCGATCACGGAATCACACTTCCCACTTTCGGACGCTTGACCACGCTCGTTCCAAGCGGAAGTAAGACAAACCTGTTACAACCACGACGATCAAGCTTTTCCTGATTGAGTCCGTGCCATCAGGAGATACAAGCGAACGTGGACGGCGGAATCATCAGCAGATTTAAGTGTCTTGGTGTAAGCAGGTTATTGTAAAGCGTACGCGAAATAGCGTACCGAGTCTTGGAATAAGACTTGGCAGTGCGTTACTGTAGTGTACGAAAGGTTTCATGCTGCCGGGCAAAGAGCTGGGCCATTCCAGATCAGCGACATGAGGGCGTCACTCTATAGCTTTGCTCAAAGAAGTCACTGCCCATTTATGGACGTCAAAGTCGAAACACTTAGATTGTGCGCGGGGCAGTGTACGAGACGCAAGTCTACGCCTGCGCACAAGTCAATGCTAGAACATCCCATTAGTACGGGTCTTCACTGTAAATATGTTGCACTTCCTTATCACCCTTTATCATACGTGTGAACATGGACATTCTTCGTGACACTACAGGACAGGATGACCTGTCTTCTCTTGTTGTCTGCACAACGTTCCTCGAATGTTCACACTAGTTTCCGACCTGATCCTTCATTACAATGCGCAAACACGGGGAATACGACGGCAGCCTAAAGGACTGGTCGAAGCATCACGAGCGCTCGATGATACAAAAATGAAGGAGCACACGAACATCTGTGCTCGCGTGTATTTGTCAATCGCAACGAGTCATTGTCAGACGATGCAACTGCAGTGACCAACACTGCTAGATCATCTACCAGCTTTTCTGTGTGACACCATGCAATCGCAGGTGCCTAAATTGTATTCTTGCATAGTCATGATGAAACTCCAGAACTCGAGAAATCTGCCTATCGTTGCCGCATCTCCTGTGCAGTCCAACCGTCAAACAGTAATGGTCGAACTGATTGCGTACGCGTATTCCTGCCGCCTCACACTGTATACATGTGGCTGCTAGACCTCGTCCACACCAAAAAGTGTGCAACGCTTCTCCAAACAACAGATGTACTCGAATCATGACAATGGACGACGACACTTGATGATGTGCTTTGTCAGATTACTCCTGCAACGTATCTGGACTTGTGGGGCACTTGTGCATCACACAAGCGCGCGACGTCGGACCATAGAGTCGTCACAAGCAAAGAGACAAAGATTGTGCCCCAAGGCAAACATAGACTATCTATCTTCTCGCCGACTTTGTCGAATACGAGTGTAATCATGTCGAGTCACGTCATCGGCAGATTCAGGATGACAAACTCTGTCATAATCGATACTTTTGGTACCACATACATTTATGAAGTAGCAGAGCTTACCAGGTATGAGCACCTCGAGGCACTTGTTGCAACGGTCGGAGCCGACACATATATCGGTTTATAGAGGGCCATACCACTCCAGGCAGTATCGGCTACGACAAGTTCTGCTCAGTGCTGTACGATGCCATCGTCGTTCCACTCGCTTTTCAGTCTGACTCCACCCAAAGACAAGAAAAATCTCGGGCTGTGTTCGTGCGAACGGACCAGTTCAAGAATGTTTGGCTGGCAGACCTGATACCAGAAGAATATTGTGCACTCGCGTGACGGCTATCGTCCGATTTCTTGTGCAGCGACAGAGTGAGTGGCAGTCGCCATTGGCCCATTCACGAACTTTGCTGTCCCCTTGGGGCAATAAATACCAATGCGATTCCGAATCGGCAGTGCCGTGTTCATGGCCACAGTCGTCTTCAGCTGCGTCCGTTTTGCCAGTGGGGATTCGATCGCTGTTGGAGGCCACACGAAGAACAAGCGCACGGAGGAGACGATGGCCCGTGTTCGCAACGAGGCGGACCCGAACGTCCAGGAGCAGAGAGGACTCGAGACGGCAAAGGCCGTTATTGAGAAAGTCGTGTCGTTCGGGCGGTCTGTACCCAAGAGCAGCTCGGGGGTGGAAAACGGGGTCAAGTCCGCTGGCCAACAAGCAGCGCGGGCCGCTTCAGGCGGGGAGAAAGTGGCCAAGAAGTACCGAAAACGAGACGTAGCGAAGAAAAGCGGGATCGTGGTTTACTTCCTCGCTCTCTTTGCTCTCGCGACGATGGGGGTCACCTATACGATCAAATCCGGCATTCCATAGTGCATTCGCTTCGACGGTTGGTTGGTTGGTGGGCCACGAAATAGAGACCGAGAGAGACCAAGAAAGACTGAGAGAGAGACCGAGAGACCGAGAGAGAGACCGAGAGACCGAGAGACCGAGAGTTTGGTGTCGAAAGGGTCTGCTTGGCTGCAGTCATGCGATAGCAGTGTGGCTGCTTTGATGCAAGACGTGAATAAGCCCTTTTGCTACTTATCAATGCCTGTGTGATTGACGTCTCTGCTTTGTAGATACACATACACTTACTTACACACACACAGACTCATCGACTGATCCCATGACCAGCACCGGCTTACCCCGCGACCGCTTCGACTCGTGCGTCGTGGTCTCTACTGCGTCGGTGGCATCTCGTTCGAGTCTCGCGCGGCTCTCGTCTCGATCCGCGTCGTCGCTGGAGGCTCTGGTCGACGCTGCAGTCGTTGAGCTAACACCAGAGCGATCCTATACCCCCAACAGCCAACAGATTGTCGACCAGCCCCTTGACAGCGGCCACGACGACGACGAAGCTCTGGCAGCTATGTGTGCGATCATTGCTGCATGTGCTAAAGAAGGAGACGAGCGATCGCCTGTTGAACAGCGGTACGAGATGAAGGAACAGCAGCGAATCGGTGTGGAAAAATACTCGGACTGTAGAGCTCACAGCAGCACACGTCGTGCTGTTCTCTTCTGCTCTCTGTCTCCTCTCTCGTTTTGTGTACAGGCAGCAACAACAACTTGAAGCTCTTGGGGTGAACGATAAAGCACTGCAGAAGAAGCTCCTGTTAGTTATACCTGCCGCTGTCTCGAGACTGCGACGCGTGCTCGACAGTACCAGTACGTGGGCCACATTGACGCGGCTGTTGGTTGATGGCGTGTTGATGGTATCGGACCAGCCCGAGGTTCACTGACTGGATGATGGTGTTGCTGATGTTGCGCTGTCGAGCAGACTTTGACTTTGCTCAAGTCGTGGACGTGTCGTGGCGACTGGACCACGTGCTGCATTCGAGTGGGGCTGGAAGTGTCCATGAACCACTGTACGTTGTGCAGCTGCATGTGCAGTCGCCTCGTCCTGTTGGTGGCGGAGGACTCCAGACGGTCGTGTTTACGTGCTCCGTGGAAGAGCTCCGGGTGCTCGTGTACCGCATCCAGGAGAGTGCTACTGAGGTGGAGAAGCTGATGACGGGACCGCCGTCGTAGAGCCGACCTGTGTGGGCATCGTCGACCCAGACAAGCGTGAAGAAGCGACTATATTGCTGCCTCGAGCGAGTCTTGGGATGGAAAGCAATGCTGTCGGCAGTTGCCGATTCCTCGTTGGGCAGTTGCGTCGTCTTGGGCAAGGAAGGAGGAGCTTTGAGGGGGAGACAGTGCCCCAAGTTGTCGATGCGTTTTGATCGGTACGCATCGACTCTGTCGTGCTGAGCAAGAACACGTACCATTCTCGACGACGTACTGACATCCGAATCGATAGCTACTTCATCTACAACGCTATGGATGCCGTGTTTGGCAGATATGATAGAGGGTACCTGTCGCCGACACAGTGTACGCACAAGTTGCCAGTAGGACTGTATGGAAAGCTTTCGCTTGTTGCGGAGAAAACAGTCAAGCGACGAAAACGAATGACAATAGCGACGCGATTGTGGTCTCTCAGGTGAGTGACTCAGGATCGTCGTAAACACGAAACGGTTCCTCTCTTCTCTGCGACTCTCCAAAATGTGCCGATACTTACTTTGCGTACGACAGAGCCGTCTCAACAATGCAGCGAGAAACTGAAGAACGCGAGCGAGCGGTTGTTCGCAGACTCCTACTGCCGTAGTAAGATGGACGTTTTTCTGGACTAGGGCTACAGTCGCTCCAGCCCGTTTTGGCGTTACGACTATGGGATCCGTCGTCCGTTTCGTGCCCTACGCATGCGTCTTTGGCTCCGTAATCACCGCCACGACCCATAAGCAAGTGAAAAGATCTTGTCATGCGATGGCCGCAATGACGTGGTACGAATAATAGTAGGGGACTAGAGGGGGGGGAGGCATTTTACCAGGTGCGGCTCCTGCTTCGCTTGTGCGATCGATCGTAGTATCGGCTTCCACCGTTGTTGACAAGAAGAACTGCTGGACGAAACAGGCGCTGCAAAACCTGTTTCTAGCAAGTTGTATCCCGACTTCAGTGAACGCGTTGGTGCACTCGATATTGCCCATACGTCTCAAGTCTCGTTGACACACAACAAATCGAGCGCGCCATCAAAGGCGTTAGACAGCATGAGCGCTGTCACCCACGTCGGTCGTAGCGAGTTTCCCATGACCGTAACGGCTCGACAGAAAAAGTCGGCCATTACCGAAATAACGGGTCATCGCGACCGTCGCGAGCGAAAAAACCCATCATCACTTGTACTCAGCTTCCGCCGCACCAGACAAAAGCAGTTTCACAGTCAGTGTCGTCCCGCAGTGGGTCCACTCGTCCCTCACACGAGTCGCCACATGAGCCATAGTCTCCTCCGTCTACAAAGACTCCCACCCACCCACAACAACCCACTTCGACCCACCACAACCCACAACAAGAAAAAAAGACAAAAAAGACAGCGAATGAAAAACCCACCCCCCCTGTCCCCCCCCCCCCTCTTTCGGGACCGTGCGACCGAACTTAGTGCGTCCCCCCATCGTGTCCCTATCGCTTTCCAGAGGGATCGCACCCCCGCGGGCTTCTCGAACTAAGTACGTCGCCCGCCAGCAATTCGCTTTTTTCCGCACGTTTGCCACGCGGCACTTTGGAATTCGACCGACGACGCGCAGCCGACGGACGGAAACGCACTTTGCACCGCGTCACGTGCGACTGTTTGGCGCCCCGTTGTGCTGTGTACCCCTTCCGCTCGCGCCATGAAGGACGCGCCGCTTCCCCCGCCCGCGACGCGCCGCTTCGAGCTCGAGCCGCCCGAGGCCGTGCTGCAGCACTTTGACGTGACGGAAGCCACGGGGCTGAGCGCTGCTGCCGTGGCCGCCCAGCGCGCCACGTACGGCTTTAACGAGCTCGCGAAAGAAGAGCACACGCCGCTGTGGCAGCTCGTGCTCGAGCAGTTTGACGACGCGCTCGTGAAGATCTTACTGGGCGCGGCCGTCGTGTCGTTTGCGCTGGCGGTGCTCGAGCACGACAGCCAGCGCGCGAGCGACGAGGGCATTGGCGCGTTTGTCGAGCCACTCGTGATCGTCGTGATCCTCGTGCTGAACGCAATGGTGGGCGTGTGGCAAGAGTCGAACGCCGAGGCGGCGCTCGAAGCGCTCAAGGATCTGCAGCCCGAGAACGCGCGCGTGCTGCGCGACGGCGAAATGCTGACGCTGCCGGCGCGCGAGCTCGTGCCGGGCGACGTGGTGGAGATCCGCGTGGGCGACAAAGTGCCGGCCGACGTGCGGCTGCTGTCGATGAAGACAACGGCGCTGCGCGTCGAGCAGGCGCAGATGACAGGCGAGTCGACGTCGGTGAACAAGGGCATTGACGCGCTGCCGCCGCACACGGAGAATTTGATCCAAGCTAAGACCAACATGCTGTTTGCAGCGACGGTGGTCGTGAATGGCCTGGGCACGGGCATTGTGACGCAAGTGGGCATGGCCACGGAGATTGGCAAGATCCAGCAGAGCGTGCAGGAAGCGTCCAAGGACGACGAAGGTACGCCGCTGTCGAAGAAACTCGACGAGTTTGGCGAGCTCTTGTCGAAGGTCATTGCCGTCATTTGCATTGTCGTGTGGGCGATCAACTACAAGAACTTTTTCGACCCCATCTACGGCTCGGTGTTCAAGGGCTGCATCTACTACTTTAAGATTGCCGTCGCGCTCGCGGTCGCAGCGATCCCAGAAGGGCTGCCGGCGGTCATTACTACGTGTTTAGCGCTCGGCACGCGCAAGATGGCCAAGAAGAATGCCATTGTGCGGAAACTGCCGTCGGTCGAGACGCTCGGCTGCACGACGGTCATTTGCTCGGACAAGACGGGTACGCTCACGACGAACGAAATGTCGTGCGTGACGTTTTCGCACATTGGCACGTCGGACACGGACCTCGTGACGTACGACGTCGAGGGGCACACGTACGCGCCGGTGGGCAAGATCGAAGGCCCTCCGTTGGATCGGTTCAGCGCGCTGTCGTCGCTGGCGATGGTGTGTTCGTTGTGCAACGAGTCGGCGATCGAGTACTGTGACGGAAAGTATGTGCGTGTTGGTGAGCCCACGGAAGCTGCGCTGAAGGTGTTGGTCGAGAAGATTGGGTTCCCGCACGATGCAGTCAAGCAGGCAGAGATGCTGTCACTGCGCGCCTCTGCTCCTGAAAAGGCTGCTCAGTTTTGCAACGAGCACATGGAGCAGCAAAACAAAAAGTTGGCTGTCCTGGAGTTCTCGCGCGACCGCAAGTCCATGTCTGTGCTGTGCACAAAGTCTGGTGCGGTGGCGCACCGCGCGACCCGCTCGTCGGCGTCGAACCAGAATCTATTGCTTGTGAAGGGCGCTCCGGAAGGCCTCATTGACCGCTGTACTCACGTGGAGCTGGGCGACGGGAGTGTGAAGCCGTTGACTGATGCTGGTCGCCAGGTGCTGCTTGCGCAGGTGTCGAGTCTTGCCCGCAAGTCGCTTCGTTGCCTCGCATTGGCAAAGAAGGAGGACTTGGGTGAGCTTGGCGCGTACGACGGTGACCGCCACCACCCTGCCCACAAGATGCTGGAGAAGACGGAGAACTTTGCTGCGATTGAGTCGGGTCTGACCTTTATCGGTCTTGTCAGCATGCTGGACCCCCCGCGTCCGGAGGTGAGGCCCATGATTGAGATTTGCCAGACGGCAGGCATTCGCGTTATCTGCATCACGGGTGACAACAAGCTGACTGCCGAGAGCATTTGCTACAAGATTGGTGTACTCAAGGAAGGCGACGACCTGAGCACGCGGTCGTTCACGGGCGCCGAGTTCTTTGCCCTTCCAATGGAAAGGCGTAACGAGTACTTGTCGAGTGGCTATGGTATGGTGTTTTCCCGCACGGAGCCGAAGCACAAGCAGCAGCTCGTCAAGATGTTGAAGCAGTTGGGCGAAGTCACGGCGATGACAGGTGACGGTGTGAATGACGCACCTGCGTTGAAGCAGGCTGACATTGGTATCGCGATGGGCATCACGGGCACGGAAGTTGCAAAGGAGGCGTCGGACATGGTGCTTGCTGACGACAATTTTGCCACGATTGTAGCCGCAGTGGAGGAGGGCCGTGCTATCTACAACAACATGCAGGCGTTCATTCGCTACCTGATCTCATCGAACATTGGGGAGGTGGCTGCGATCTTCTTGACGGCCGCTCTCGGGCTGCCCGAGGGGCTCATTCCTGTGCAGCTCTTGTGGGTGAACCTCGTGACGGACGGCCCCCCGGCCACGGCTCTTGGCTTCAATCCGCCCGACGCTGACATTATGAAGAAACCGCCTCGTCGCACCGACGATGCTCTGATCACCGGCTGGGTTTTCTTCCGGTATATGGTTGTTGGCATCTACGTGGGTTTCGCTTGCGTCGGTGTTTTCGCGTACTGGTACATGTACTACGAGGCGTCTGGCGATGGCCACACGCTGATCACGTACGACCAGCTGACCCACTGGACCAAGTGCCACGAGTGGGAGAACTTTACAGTCAACAACTTTGACGGTATGGACTTCTCGTCGGACCCTTGCCGCTACTTCACGGACGGCAAGAAGACGGCGTCGACGCTCTCGCTCTCGGTGTTGGTGGCGATCGAGATGTTTAACGCTCTCAACGCGCTATCTGAAGACGGCAGCCTGATCACGATGCCGCCGTGGTCGAACCCGTACCTCATGATTGCCATGGTGATATCGTTCGTCATGCACTTTGTCATTCTGTACGTGGACGTGCTGGCCAACACGTTCAGTGTCATTCCTCTCGACCGGAACGAGTGGCTGATGGTGCTGGCGTTTTCGCTGCCCGTGATTCTCATTGACGAGGTACTCAAGTTAGTCGGCCGTCGCATGCACGCGCGCGAACTCAAGCAGCGTCTGGACGAGTGGGCCAAGAAGAACCAGTAGACGATGGACGTGACACTACGGCGCTTGAGCAACCAGAGAAGCTGCGCTTGGGTTTTGGTTGAGCACGACCGAAACCGAGACGGCACTATTAGAAAATCGAAAGAGGTGCTTGTTTTTCTCCATGCAGTACGTCGGTACCGTAGCAGTAGACGCCAGCGCTGCGTCGGTGTCGCGTGTTGCTGCTGAATGTCCATGGACGAATCTGCACTGGGACACTTTATGCTTACCGTTAGTTTAGCGCGATCTCATGCATGTGGTAGCTGGTAGGCAGAAAGAGTGATCTGGCTAGGAGGAACGAGGTGGCATTGACGGGAATGAAAACGGGGATACACTGAAGACAAGTGGGTATGGTCTTGGCTTTAACGTGACTGCAACATGCAAGCGAATACTCGGTAGCTTGTCGATCAGTGAGTGTAGACACCAGACGTTTCTACCACAAAGCTTACCGTACTGCAGACCTCTTCACCGAATTGAACGCGTCACGGCATATTCAAAGCCATCATGCCAACTTTGAAGGCACGAGTAGTAGACTGACCACCGACAAAGGCCAACCACAACGTCACTTAGTGCACTCGAAATACAGGGCATCGGCCGATACACACCTCTTCGATAACAAGTCCAAGAGCATGTGCTCTCTACCCACGCTACGCACGGGACTAGAGAGAGCTAGCACCTTCATAACTAGTACTCCAGGATCAAGTCGGCCACGAGAAGATGACTCTGCAATAGCGGAAGGAGACCGTGTGAATCGAAATCACGATGCATGTATGGCTGTGGTCCTAGGCAGCAGCACACTTGCCAGCATCAACTTAGTTTTCCCATCTTACTAGGCATGCAACAATACTGAGGAAGCTGCAATGTACCACCTGGACGTGTAGTGAGTCATCTTACATCACACGCTGCATTTGCTGTCTAATAAAGTTTCCCGACACTACGCTGCAACGCCCCACACTTTCTTTCTGACCTTGGCCAACATCATCGTGCGTATCATCGATCAGTGCCAAGCGCAAGGCAGCCCGCGCGACCCGATCCCACTTGGTCTGGCGATTGCTTACAGTGGAGCGACCATAGTTTCCAGCACTTTTTTAACGGTGAATGAATGGTGCGTTCCAGTCGTTTGAGATGAACGAAGGCAAGTCTGGCAATCTCAACATTCGTCACTGAGCTCGCGTGATCACTCTTTGGTCATTCCGACAAACGCATCTCGTCGTTCGCATGATCGCTCTTGCAAGCCATGACGAGCTTGGGATTGCTATCGCATGACTTTTGCTGTACATTGAAGCAGACAGTGCGAAGCAGTTACTCGTCGTCGCGTAGCGTTGACCGCTAACACTTTCTGATGATTGATGCTCTCAGACTGCCTTCCAAAACGAGAAACGATGCACGTGTTTGGACAACAGCATAGCGTGGCGAGCAACAGGCGTCGACGTTCGGCTCGGACGCACCATACACGCATTCGGCCGTGTTTGTTTATCCATCTCAGAAGGCCTCGTTCGGCGTGAATGAAAAGTTTGCACACGCAGCCACGATGTCTCTGACACCGCTTGTCATCGTTCTCGTTCTATCGGAGTCACGATAGTCGTAGTAGGTCGCTGCAGCACGATGCGTGTACCTATGATGGCTTAAGGTGGCCGGAGACACGGCACCCGATCGTTCCACATTGCACAATCGGTGCAATGGACATGTATCGATGTTTCGAGCATTTGTCCCTCATGTTTCCTACACACACACTATGCAGCGACAATAGCGTACGCCTTTTTGGATTGAGCAACGTGCAGTAGCAGCTCCTTGTAATGTACTGCGCTTGCAAACATGCCAATGTGCTAAGCTCACAGTGAGCGACAGCGTCATGTCAGCCATGTAAAGACAGGTAATAATTGGTCCTGCCACGCACGAGGACTTACTTGGCCCGCTGCCAATAAAAGGCACTTGAGGGTTTAGTCGGTCAAGCAGTAAGCGTAATTACGCTGAGCTTTTTACGCCCCACTCTGCCGGTTTGGTTGGCTGTGCGCGTTTGTGGCAGACGGTCTGAGTTCACTGTGTGGCTCTGTTTCGTCGCTCAGTTTCGTAGCTATGTCTTGTAGACGATCTCGAGCGGTCCACGTGACGATTGGAATATAACACCATCTTTCGACCGAGGGCTCCACCCCAGTGGCGACAATACCTCTCACCAGATCTGATGGACCTCAGTACATGCCACGTCTACGTATTGGCACTAGATTGATTGAAGTCATGTAATGCATAATCCCTGCGCAGCTCTGTTTCTAGCAACGGACAGAGAGAAGCTCTGGAGCTGCTCAGTTTGGAATACTGGGTGCGTTCCTATCTTGCTCCATGTTGTCGCTCTTAGACGTCGTAGCATCGCTTGTGCTCTCAGCGTACAGCGTATTGTAGATACCTTTCATTTACTGGCTCCTCCAGCTGTAAGTGACTGCTGAGCAAGGGCTCTCCTTGTCTCGAGTCGTAAAGCTCGTACAAGGCTTCCGTGTGTGGACTTTCGGTGGAAGATGACACAAGCCGTCCTCTGGGCAGATACGTTTCCGATCGACAAGAGGGAGCACATGTGTGTGTTTTGATGCTCGATCATCTCATCAATGGATGAAAGCAGCTTGTTCCTAGGCCCACATTGTCTTGGCACATCACGCAGAGGCGCGATCAACAGTGTCCTGCAACTCCGCCAATATGCCTTGAAGATGACATAGAGGCGATACGCTGATCGAAGCATGAGGCTGAGACGTAGGAACGAACACACTTCCATTGGCCTGCGTTGATAAAAGATGAAAGAACGATGCTTCTCGTTAGGCATTGACGGGTCGTGACGACATTCGGACACACGAGTCGCTACTTTGAAAGCGTTTTGATCCGTCTCACTAGCGCGTGCCGATGATGTCGTTGCGTCCACAAACTGAACATGCTCCTTTGTTGTCTTTCGCACTGCAAAGCCTACTTTGTTCGCGGGCAAAGTCTGCAATTGACGTCAAAAGGAGGTAAGACGAAACGTCCTCTGACACTGCTGCGCCCACACGAGAGTAACAAACCGATTCGGCTAACGCACAAAACAAAACGGTGTCCGCAAAAGACTTATGTCGTCTTGTTCTCGACTACTGCAATTGCTCGACGGTTCTTATGCCACCGGCACGTCATGTAATACATGGAGCCTCACAACTTATGCTCTGCCAGTTTGTTGTCGCTTTTGAGCTCACTCAAAGCTCAACGTGTCTTCATCACATAAGAATTGAAAGCCCAGTCGAGTAGCTATGCTTTGTCGACGTCTATTTCGTGTACCATTGCATTGCCCGGTGGTTGACTTCGTTCTTGGCATCTTCAGTGTCTGAAATAGTCCACACTGCATCGCTCAGAGCCTCGCAAAACCGTTGATCGGTCGCCGAGCGCTTTATCTACTACCTTTGCAACCACTTCATGCTTACTCCTACTGCTCGGTGAGTCTCCACCACGTCCCTCCGCGCCTTTCGTCAATCGCCTCAGCATTATCCGAATTAACTGAACAGCTACTTTGCGGCTTTCTATTCATATCAAACCACTTACTGCATACTGTTCCAGCTGACCAGGTACTCCTTGTGAAGAAGATGAGGCACTTTTCAAATGAATAACGGACCATTATCTGCTGAGAATGACGGGCAATTCCTCAGGGTCACGTGCAACGAACGCAACTGTACAACTTGCAAGAGAAACCGCAGATGTAGATAGATGACGTACGTCAGAGCAAAGTACGGACCGACAGAATGACCTGCGACAGGTCCGACAACCGTGTGTTCAAATGCCGAGTAGTCTCCATGTAGTCCGTCCAGCACCGCTGATCTGGTACTTGGTATGTCACGTAGCTGGAAGCATTTGCCACAACGCCTGTTTTGTATCGATCTTTCATACAAACACGGGTGAGAGTCGATGAGGATCTGCGCGTACTATCGAGTCACACCACATGCGTTTCAGCACGCAGTCCTCCAAAATGCCAGCAAGACGTACCCAGTTCGATCAGGTATCGCGAGCATATTTCTTCATCCAACACTGGCACTTGCACGCGACCTCGACACGGCAACTGCGCGTGCACAATGGCTACAAGTCTGAAGTGTAGCTTTGTGGCCAACTACCTTTGCCAGCATCTCTTTGCCAAACAGCTCCACCATCACTATACTACCATGCTCTCGTCTGCGAGCGCAGCATAGGATCAGAGTCAGCGATCGTTTTGAAAAGGCAAATGCGTGCATTGAACTTTGTTTCATCCATCACGCAAAACTGTTTGCGTGGCAGACAACCGGGTAAGCGAGTCGCAGCTCGTGATACGACGGCGGCAATAGTATCCTCATTCTTTCGTACATCCAATTCGCAGGATACGGAGCTTGATGGACGTGAAGCGTATGTCTGGCTTGCATGTTTCTCTCCCCCCGCATGCTTTTATCAGCCGTTCGAGCGCACAATCAATCGTCTCTCATTCGTTCGCGTCGACCACCACTTCCAGTCACATGTTGCTTTCTCACTGCCACCATCAGTGAACAGCTTGTATCGAGCGCTGCTGTCCTCTAGCAGAGAACGGTTTATATACATCGGCTAACTTAGTTTTCAAGCTTTCTATTGAGCAGCTTGCGAATTGAGGTGGCTCGGGGCATCCGCAAAGTAGGACTGTAAGATGAACGCACGCGAGAGCAACGGCTCAATCTCATTCTCCACCCAGTCTTTTGTCGGCAAACTTTGCAGAAACAGTACCAGATCCTGGAACTCCAGCGTCTTCAGCGTCTCACCAAACGTCATCAGAATCGCAGCGCACACGTACACATGAAAGCTCTCAAAGCCCGAGTCTTCGCACAGATACGTATCCCAGATGCGCACAATGCCATTCAGTGGTAGCTCGCGCATCAATAAACAGTTCATCCAGCGAAATGCAAACTGAACAAACTGCACGTTTTCACGCTCCACGATATGCTCGAACAATTCGGCGTCACAACGATGGACCAACTCTTCCATGCGTTGCACCATGCGCTGCAGACCCGGCTGTGCAAAAGTATAGTGGTCCTGAATATCGTCCAGCAGCTTCGTCAAACACCAGTAGCTGTCCGCCTCAATAATTTGCAAGCTTTCGTCCGCCACTCTTGACAAGTCGCACGTCTGTGGGTCATCTAAGGATTGGAAAATAGAGTGAGCTAGTGTAAGCTTGACATTGTTCATCCGGGACACCCACTCACCGATAAAAGCCGAGATAAATACGACCAAGAACGGCGTCATTAGGTCGTTGATTCCTTGCACGTATCCGCTCGCTGGGTGCCGGATTGCCCAAATATACAGAACTCGTTCCATGCACTATCAACACACGAGATCACAAACGCAATCTGTCATGACGATATCGCTAGACAGTCTCCCGGTGTCAATACCATCTCACCTGGTGGATGCGCTCATTCTGAAACAGCTTCACGTCTGCATTAGTGCGTGGGATGTCAACGAGGATCTGGCGTAGCGTAGTTTGCTCTCGCATTCCCCGATCCGTGTCTGGAATGTAATAATACTGCTGCAGCAACTCAGCGTATTCTTGCCGCTTGCGCTCCAGCATGGCAGCACGTCGGTCCTTTTTCGACGGCATGTAGCTCTGCAGTCATACAACACAACACACGGCAGACACGTCAGACCACGGCAGCCATTTATCACATCTTTGTCGCAGCAATCGTCACACCAGCAACAAACGCCAGACTGTAGGTCGATGCTTGGTCGGAATGCCGCCCCAGCTGAGTTTGCGAAGCTGGTCCAGGTCCACAACTTCCTTGTCCAGCAACCGTTCAAACTGCAGATCGCGAAGGTTGCCAGACGCATTGCGTGATAACGACGCCGACGTCGTGCGTTCAACAACAACACTCTCTTCCGTGCTGTCGGTATTGCCAAGACCCGTGCTGCTACTGCTGCTGCTGCCTCCCTGCATCCTGTTTTCATGCTGACCCTGCTTCTGCTCGTCCTTGTGCGGCGAGCACTGCTTCTTCAGTGACGCGAGCGCGCCATCAGCACGCTCGCTCTCGCCCGACAAGCACGGACTCTTCCCTTGCAACGACGCCGAGCCAGCAACGACCGCCACGCTTTGCCTGTCCCCACGTCACCACACTGTCACCAATCCGTCTCCAACTGCCCAACAGTGCACCAACAACCAGCGCTCCACGCACCTCGTCGGTGGAGCTGGTGCAGGCGTCACCCAGACTGGCGGCAACTGCCCCGTGTTCACTTGCTTGATCGAGCCCGGCAGCGCCGACGCCTTTGTCGGCACGTGCGTCTTGTTGTGTCCACGCAGGAAAAAGCCCGACGTGGCAGCACTGGTCAGACCGCCAGCAGCAGCCGATGATGCTGCATCTTTTTTCTTGTGCACCAACTTGTTCAGCGCGGTCTTAAATGGGTTCAAACTCGCACCGGGAGGCGGCGTCATCGGTCGTGGCTACAATCGATGGCACGTCCATACACAGAGCAACACACAACACACAACAACAACAGACAGACACAACAACAGAAGACACACAACAACAGTAGACACACAACAACAACAACAGAAGAGAGAGAGAGAGAGAGAACAGACAGACAGACAGACACATTTAATGAGCGCGTGATCGCGTTTTCGCAGCAGCTGCAGCGGTCCAATCAGTGGCCGACGCGTGCGCTGCGCCAGAGTTCGCTTAGGTCCTTACGAACGTACCACAGTGTCGCTACTCGACAGTCGGCGGTTCAGGAAGTTGTCCATTGGCTGCCTGCGCACAGCGACAGACACCACAGAAAGGGACGAAATGGCTACAGAAAGAGACACTGCGGTGCGGAAGTCGGGTGTGGGTGTGTTCGTGCTTTTTTGCGTGCTTTTTTGCGTGCTTTTTTGCGTGCTTTTTTTCGCAGCAATGCGGCGGGGAAAAAGGCACGCGATAAAAAGTGGTTTGTTTTTGGTTTTTGGTTTTTGGTGGAATTGGGGTCGGCTGGGGGTCGGGTGTATTTGTCAGTGCTGAATACAAATGAGAACGTGGATGAGAGTCGGTTGGAAGTTGTGTGTGTGTGTATGTGGATATGTGTATAGCGGTACTATGCATAGTGTAGCGAGGGAGAGAGACGTCTGCTGTACGCACGTACCCGAGTGTTTTTTTCGAAGGCTTTATGTTGCTGCTGTAGTTAGTGTGGTTTGATGGGTGGGTAATGTGGTCAACACTATGCCTGGATGTGTTCTGGTCGTTCACAAGTGCGGGTGTCGGTCGTCGACAATACCGGTTTCCTCCAGCGCTACCCTCCTTCGATTCGACATAGTTGTCAATGAGTTGAGTACCGATTGGGCTTTTTGGAAATGGGCACTGTCTGGTGAGTAAGGTCCGTAGCAATGGGTAAGAGTAGGCAGGTAGCACATCTGTCTGTGCGACGGACCGATGCGGAACGGTCGTGTCGTCACTAGAAAGCGTGTTAAGGATCCGTAAAAGAGAATCAGACAACTTTACACATGCAGACCCGTAAAAGAGAATCAGACAACTTTACACATGCAGACCCGTAAAAGAGAATCAGACAACTTTACACATGCAGGTGCACTAGTATCATGCGGTACGATGACGGACAGCAACAAAACACACAAGTTGCGCGCAACGCCTCGAACAATGGACACACATTCACAACACTGACCTACAGACTCACACGAGTCGGAGGTGTCGGCTACGTGAATGTATGCAAGCTTTGTATCGCTACATACTGCAGCGCGAAAGAGGTGCACTTCTGCTGGCTCAGACCTTACTGAGTGTGGTCATGTCAGTACTTGCGTGCAGGGGGGGTGACTCAACAACGTGGTAGGCTGAACATGACTGACCACCATGGCATTGAATTGATGAGTGGCAACCGTCTCTTCATTCAAGTGCTGTCTTGGCCATCCTCCATGCCACTTTTCTATCGCACGAAACGTGGTACAATGTTGCCTGTGGCGGGTTGACTAGAAGCGTGAGGGGTATAACACGCTTACGTGGACGACGACACATGCAAGACTTGGAGGTAGCACTGGCAGTCTTGTAGCTATCGAGTCATGGGCGATTGTGCCTTCTTCTTTTGTATTCCTAAGCAACAAGCGATTGCAATGTCGATACCTTGTCAGGACTCGGTAATAATGGCAGCGTTCAGTCCCAGCAGGAGGTCATATGCGCTATACAAAGCGTACCCATAATCGATGATGTCCGTGTCGTGCTGTGTCGATACAACAAGGGAATCGAATAGCTAAGCCCGACCAAAGGTCGCTCACTAGGTGAATGAAAGCGCAACATCAAAGAGTAATCAAAGCGTCTCTGGCACTTGATGTCCCCGTGAGCTGCCTAAACAGATCAGAAACGACCAAACTCAGCTAGGAATGCTGGCGCACAGTGAATTGCTTCTTTGATGAAAAGCAAGTTTACAGATACCAAGTCCGCACGTACGGCTATCTTCACGCACGGAGATGGACAGAATAGAAGACCTTGCATGTCTGTTTCCAGCTATGCTGCTTACAGGTGACGACGCAACGGCTGCTTTGAGTCTTGCAAGACTCGTAATGGATTCGATAAGCTGCCTAGAATGTCTATCAAGAGCGTGGAAGCCCAGGGGTCCAGTTAGGTCGACACCACACACACACACACACTCCGATGAGTGTGCGTCCAGGACTATCTCCACTATTCCGACGACAGGGATGGCACACACTAGTTGGACCCAGACAATGTGACTGGGAAGCAGCACATATATGGACGTGTACCTCAATGAGAAAGTCGTAGGACCAACAGGAAGTTGGATGGCGACTTTTGCACAGAAGCGCTCCTCGGAACACAATGCAGGACGAAGTCGAGGAGACGGGATACTGAGTACCATCTATCGTTGTGTTACAATCTCAGCCAAGTCGGCCTCGCACAGCAAAGTCATGCTATACTGTAGCACTCAACCCACACGAATGAGCTTATCCGGAAGCCTTCTCCAGGAGGCGCACACACTGGTAAAATACAACAGCACAGACCATTTTTCCAATCGAACTTATCGAGGGACAGTTGATACGATTTTATCCGTTTTGCTGCAAGAAAGGTATACGGAGTATACGAGAAACAAATGCGCTGTTCGACAACTATTCTCTCGAGGAGGTATTCATTCGCACCTGCAGAGACGACGGAGCGATGCCACAAATATCGAGAAAAACGGAGCCGAATCCCATAAACAAAAGTCGACGAGAAAGCGTGGCCCGATCTCCACAATCAGTCGCGCGGCAATCCGACTCGGGCCACTGGATGTCCCGTCGTGGATAGTCGCATACCTTCAGAAGTTTATTCTGGGAGCTTATGGCTATAATCGATAGTAGCGGTACGCGGTATGCGACAACTGCCACGGACGTAGCTGCTGGAACAGAACGCCGTGCAAGTCTCATTGCTATGAAAGCTCACGTATGGATGCAACGTGGCCCTCAGTGTTCTTCGCTCAGTGACTCCGGTCCCGACGGCCTTTTACCAAGTCGATGCCCATCGTAGTGAAAGGCATCGACCGTCGAGTCTGACTGACCTCGCGATTTGTACGCTTCGGACATGTGGCGAGCGAGCACTTTTCTGTGTCGAGTTTCGCGGAACTTCCAGGCGCGCGGGCAGCATCGAGAGGGAGATATGCTGTAGACGGCCTTCGCGGGGCTGAAGCCTTCCCACGATCCGGTCTCGACACTTGTGGGCGTCGAAAAGAGAGCTGGCGACGACGACGGACGACGGACGACGTGGGGGCCAACTGCTCTTTGTTTGCGGCGCTCGTTCCGACAGTCATGCGCTTCGATCGCACGAGCGACTCGTGCCGTCGTCTGCCTCACGAACAGCGTCTTCTCGTCTTTGTTGACTCCATAAAGAGACGACGCTACACGACCGACCGTGACCCAACTCAGACGCGCGACCGGTAGTAAGTCCTGCACGTGCACCGGCAGTTACGACCACGGCGGACAAAGCACTGCAAAGGACGCGCCCATGCGTTTGCTGCTGCCTCTCTCTCTGATTGCCTCAATGCCGTGCAAAAGGTGCTGACATATCCGGTCTTCGATCTCGTCTCGATTGGCCCTGAACGTCCTCGTCGCGAGCTTCGTCTTGTAGCTGTCCAGTCAGTCAGAGGGACTTTGTGGCTAGTGAACCGTCTCGATGGGATTGCACAGGCCCATTGTACCGGCCCACTTGAAGCAATGTGGCTCAGCTCAGAGCGCTCTCGAGGTACGGAGACTTCTTACCTGATGACGACAACCACTGCCGCTGAGGTCATCCGCTTGCGACAAAGATGTCGCCACGACCTCAAGTTCAAGTCCACTCCTCCTGGGTCGAAAGATACGTTCGACTCGATCGTTCAGCATGAGGAGAAGAAAAAAAGATACGCTGTCGATCATGAAACAAGTAGCAGTGCTCGCTGAGCGCGTAACAGTTCGTGACCATTGCAGCGGTTGTGTCGTGTCTTGTAGCAGCAGCACACGTCGTCGTCGTCCTTCAATAACACGGCCAACTGTGGTGAGTTGCAGCGTACAAACAGTTCGCTCGTCTCGCTCTCTCTCTCTCTTTGCAACTTTGCAACTCGTGTGGCAATCCCTTGCGCCTAAACAGCAGCGCGAACGAAATTTCAGCGACAAGTGCCCCCCACGAACGGACTGCCTCCTCATCCAGCGGTACCTCTTCTCCTTCAGACGCACACACACTGCCAGTCCTGCGACCACACCTGACCAGCCGATCGGTCGATCGGTCGATCGGTCGGCCACCACACCGCCTTTCGCAGCTGAATCAGGTCCGCGAAACGCCCCCCCCCACGCCCACCTCTTGTCCAGCAGGACGTCAACATGCCCTGACTTTCGCACAGGCACACGGACGCGGCCACGGACTTGAGTTCGCGTGCTGCGACCGTGTGCTACGGTGCCACGCGATCCTCTCTCCTCTCTCGTTCGTACGTCATGCGCGGGCACTGAGGTACGGGAAAGGAGGAAGCAAAGGGACGGACCGCATCAACCTGCGCGCGCGCCACGTTGGACGCGACTGTCTCGTTTCGAACACGTTTCAGTCCGCACACCAAACGGCAACGGCCACAGAACTACACAACTCACTAAGCGCAGCGTCGCGGACACTACAGCGCGTCTTCGACGGGTCGAAGAAGAGTCACGTCGATCAGTAGCTACAGACAGGACGAGGAAGCACGGGATTGTCAACGCTTCAGCAAAGAAAACGACGAGCGAAACCGAGGAAGAAGATGGAGGAGAAGAAGAAGAAGGAGAAGATGGAGAGAGAGAGAGAGAGAGAGAGAGAGAGAGAGAGAGAGAGAGAGAGAGAGAGAGAGAGAGAGAGAGAGGAGGAGGGGACTAGTGGTGACTCGGACGCGGCTATCGAGTTGTGGCACCACAGAGCACTCTTCGGCAAAGATTTGACCACCGACCGACAGACAGACAGACAGACAGCCAGAGACAGTCCGACGAGTCGATCGACAGCCAAGTGCGGCAGCCAGGCGCGCACGTGCGTGTGCCACTTGTGCCCGGCCGCCCATCTGAGCTGCGACGTTCGGGTCGTTCGTTGCTCGAGGCTTCTGCGGCGCTTCTGCCCGCGCTTCGCCGATTGCTGCGGGTCGGTCGCCCTTTTTTGCGCAGGCGTCCGCGATCGTTCCAGCGCCGCGCCAGCTGGGGGGACACGCGCGCGCGTAATAAGTGTGTAGAGGAGAAGGCGCGGGGGGAACACGAGACAAGAGGCTGTGTGTTGCTGGGAAAGTCTCGTTCCTCTTCCTCTTTGTCGCGGAGATGATCGGACTCGGTGCTGGACAGGGGGAGCGAGCGGAGAGTCGCGCGAGGATAAGAACTGCGACTTGCGGCTGACGGCCTGAGCCGCTCGTTGCTGCGTCGTGGACCGCTTGTCGCACGATCGCACGACCGGATCCAACGCGCCACAACGCGACGATCGTCATCATCACTTGGGGCACGAGCGACAGACGGGACAGTGCACTGGACACATGGGGAGAGAGAGGGGGGGGGCGCGGGCGCGGAGAGGAGGCACTGGGCCAATCATATGGATCGAGACATTGAGCGATACAAACGCAAATAGATCTATGCGTGACTCAAAAATAGATTTCGACCTACACATACAGAGATAGAGACAGACATAGATAGAGAGAGAGATAGATAGACAGACAGACAGACAGACAGACATGTGGATATAAATAGAGTGCGATAGGGGACGACGGGGTCCGTTTTCGCGCGCGATGGATGATACGCGCCCGACGAGCGCGTGCGTTGAAAAGCACGCGCGGTAAGCGACTGACTGGTGGACCTCCGCCGTGTGCGCTCGCTGGTCGTGCGATCTTGTCGTGGCTTTGATGCGGCTCCGAGACGATGGCAAAGACGAGCCGTCGTAGGTATCTTTTCTATGGCCATGTGCAGGGAAAAACCTCGCTTCTGGAAACGGGGTAGGGCTGGCTGCTCGTCTTCGCGCAAGGTGACTTGTGCGAGGGGACCTGGGGGGGGGGGCGCTGCAAAGCCAGGGCGAGGCTGAGGTTTTTCACGCGGCCAGCCAGCAGCCAGCCCTGCGGCCGCTCGGTGCCTCCTTTTTGGACAGGACGCAGGCGAATGCAATTCCTGCGTGAGCGATACCCAATGAATGGGGCTCAGCGCCAGAGCAGGACGACGTCGCAGGAAGGAGAGGCAGGAGGAGGAGGAGGAGGAGCTCACGTAAATCCCAACCCAAGTCAAACACCCACAACAATCGCACACGCGCTCTTGACGTCAAACGAAAATCATCCACCTCGGAGTCAAGTGCCCCTCGACCCCACCCCACCCCCCACCCCCTCCTGCCCCTCAACACCACTTCCACTACAACACGAGCAGTTGGTCCCATTGTCTTCCGACTGACTAAGGTATGTCTCTAGCCAGCCAGCCAGCCGTATTGGCCGTCCCCAACAGTCAACGCCCAAATGCGCTGCTGCTGCTGTTGCGACTGCTATATATCATCTATCTATACCCCCCCCACCAGCCAATTCGAAGCCGTCAGCTAACAACATCGCGTTTCTTATCGTTCCTGTTCTCTAGCCGCTGCCGCCCGCCGTCTCTGCTTAAACTATCCACACCACATCCCCATACATACATCCACACATCCACACATCCACACACACACACACAGACGGACAGACAGACAGACGGATCCCCCGCCGCCCGCCCGTTCGCCAGGAAAAAACCTCACGCACCCACTCCCCGGCCGTTGCGTCTCACCCCCTCCACCCCTCGCCCTTCCGTCCCCCCCCCGCGCTCCCCTACCCATATGACTGATTATATCCGCACCATTTGGCAAACATCCACCCCCAGAAGTGCCATCATGACCCGCCCACTCGCCACTGCTACTACTTCGGCCACGTCGACTGAACCCATGTCGTCGGGCCCAATGGCTACATTCGACGCCCCACTCGCGGTCATGGACTGCATCAAACTCGAACCGCCGGCGTCGCCGACTGCCTCGTCGTTCCTCGCGGCAGACGGCGCAACCAGTCCGTCCCATCGCTACGTACAACAACAACAGCAGCAGCAGCAGCAGCAACAGCGTCGGCCTATCACGCACAAGCGCAAGTCGCTCGACGCGCCCGCCGACACGTCGTTCCTGAGCAAGCGGCTCAAGACCGAAGCGCCGCTGCTGGACGCCAGTGGCGAAGAGCGGCTGCGGGCTATGGAAGCGCAGCTCGAGCACTTGGACCCCGAGTCGAAAGAGGCCAAGAAGAAGCGCCGGCTGATCCGCAACCGCATGTCGGCGCAGCTCCATCGCGAGCGCAAAAAGGCCTACGTGGGCCAATTGGAAGACCAGCTGCAAGCCAAGGAACACCAGCTCAAGGCGCTGCAGGAGCAGATGGCGGCCATGGCCATGGAGAGCGAACAGCTCAAGCAGCAGCTTGTGGGCCGCCAAGAACAGTGCCAGCTCCAGTCGCAGCAGCTCCAGTCGCAGCAGCTCCAGTCGCAGCAGCAGCAGCAGCAGCAGCAGCCGTGCGGTGGTCTCCTGGACGTCAAGGCCGACCACGGACCGATCAAAGTCGAGCCGGTGGAGCTGCCCAAGCCAGTGGTCGTGGTGCCCGAGGCGGCGCCAGCTGTGGACTGGGCCGCTTGCCTCGAAGACATGGACGAAGGTATGGTGGGCGAAGACTTGCTGTGTGACCTGGACGAGTCGCCGCTCGCAGCGTATGGATTCGGTGCCGGGCTTCGGGAAGAGACAGCGCGCGTTGCTGCTGCTCTCGCGAGCGACGAGTTGCGGCACAAGACACAGGCGCTGACGACGCAGCAGTCGCACTGCGAGATCCATGCTGCTAAGAAGAACCTGGCCATGATGATGGCCATGATGTTCTCCGTGACGTTCTGCGGGCAGAGCGAGCCAGTGGCCAGCGTCGCGAATGGCAGCAACTTCTCGTCCATGTTTCGCGCTGTTCCGGTGAAAGAGCTGTCGCAGATGAGCATTGCCTCGCGCATTGTCGCGTGCCTGGAGAAGACGTCGTGGGAGGACTTCCAGGACGTCTCGTCGTGGACAGCGTCGGCTGCGAGCGCGGCGGCCGCTGCAGTCGTTGCTGTGTCGAGCGACAAGAAGTCGCGCTCGTCGTCGTCGTCATCCCGGAAGCCTGCAAACTCGCCGTCAGCAGCGTCGGACGTGACGGACTCGGGATCGTGTGGTTCCCCCAAGGAGTCGGACGACGTGGACATGAGCTTTGACACGGACTTGATCGAGGAGTTTGTCTACCCCGTGGACGAGCCGTTTGCTCCGGCACTGGCCGACACGAACTGGTTTGGCGCCGACAGCGACGAGTTTGGCCAGAGCGACGTCGAGGGCGACGACAAGCGCGTCTCGGAGACCAAGACGACGCTGAAGCCCGTGTCCATGACCTCGCGGCTCTACGAGAAGCTGACGAAGCTCTGGAACGAGAACAACCAGGTGCTGCTCACGGTGCTGAACGGCAAGAACGAAGTGACGCGGCGCTCGGTGGCCGACATGAGCACGATCCGGAAGAGCATATCGACCGGTGCGTTGTTCCCGACGACGGCCACGACGAGTGCGTTGAACGACGAGCTGCTCGAGAAGCACGACCAGTCGGTCACGTTTCTGTATCCGCTGAGCGCGTTCTCCGAGGACCAGCGATCGGCAGCTTTCCCTCATGGCGCTGGACTGGATCAAGTGTTCCTGGAAGTGTCGTGCCAGATCAATGGCGCGGCGAGCTCTGTGCTATAGACGGCTGGCTGCTGTGCGGTAGGTAGATGTATTCAGTATTAAGGGGCGCGAGCAGAGCGCTCTAGCTTCATAAACTCCACTTTTGACGTAGCATGGGCAGCAGCTTCAGTACCCATCATCACATGACCGTGTCCACGAGTCCACAAAGAGAGCGCTGTGTGTGTGTGGGTGTGTGGGTGCACCCAGACGAGACCACCACCAACGACTGCGTTTTCCTTCAGCTCAACCCTCTGCGTGCAAATCGGTCGCGAACTCGAGTAAGAGTTTCATCGTGATCGTGAGTCAGCGGCTGTGGGAAGAGGCCACATGGGCCGTGCGAGCCATCGCTTGGCCAGCACCAACGAGCACAGCACTGTCCAGTCTTTAGCTCTGCAGTCGCTCGTTGTTCCTCTCCCCACGGACGCGTTGTGTCGACACGACGGCACTGGCCGACCGTTTTGTCACGCCGTCTCGCTGCTCCTGCGCTTCTTCTTCTTCTTCTTTCGGGCCTTCTGGTCTTCATCGCTGCTGGATGGCGTCAATCGCGTCGCCACTATCGCCGCTGTTTCCATTCCCGCTCGCTCTGTGCATTGATCCGTTGGTGGGCATCGATCCACATCGACGCACCCGATGGACGGCATGGGGTCATCCCGCGACCCCCAGCACTCTTTTGTTTGGCCACGTACTGCCAAGAGCTGCTCAACCGCCTCAGCTGATGGCAACTCCACGTAGACGCACTGCCGTCCTTCCCAGTAGACGTTCAACAGCCTCGTGGCTGACTGCAGATTCAGTGTCCCGCCCACACAGTGTTTGATGTGGAACGTCTTCAGCGCTGGACAGAACTTGTTGCCCCCGCTTGGCAAAGACGTCGTGCTTGACACCGGCGGTGCACGTGTGCGCGAGAGCTTCATCCGGACGAATCGAGAGCGCGATGGCGTCAAGGTCGGCTGCGGAAACGGACCCGGGAGCTGCAGCACGTACGTGGGCAGGAAGTGGCTCACGAACAACCCGTTTCGCACCCTCTCGAGCGATCTTTCGATGCCGCGTGGACTCGGTCCTTGCAGCGACTTTCCCAGCAAAGCTACGCACTCGTTCGATACGCCCAGACCAGAGCACACCCGCAGGAACACAAACCCCGTCATGAAGGCATCGTATCCTGCCTGGTGTGCCTGAAGCGGAGCCGCCTGAACGGAATCCGATGCCTCATGTCCGTGCTGCCCACGTGCTGCATCAGCATCCGCCTCTCGACTCGGCTGCACACTTTGGACGCCTGGACCGTAGAACGGGTGCTTTGACAACACGTCAAAGCAGTGCTCCAGCGAAGTATGTGCCAAGTGAGTAGCAAACGAGTCGTGTTGCTGCATCGCCGTAGTGACGAGCGTCTTGGTGTCGAACATGCCGCCACTTGCACCAAGCCATGCGTAGAGCTCTCGCTGGAACTCGGCACAGCGCTCTGGCAGCGGCCCATGGAATTTCTCGTAGCATTGCATGAGATCGAGGAGCATGTTGTGCCCAACGATTGGTTTGCGTGCAGCAACAACCACGTCCAGCACAGCCGTGAACCCAATGAGACTGAGATTCCGCTCTCTCATCTCGACGTCTGCAAGCTGTTGCTCAGCTAGCAACAGCGCTTGTTTCTGCCGTTGCGAACGCGCTTGCACGATGCGAACTCGACGTTTCCACGGATTCCGCACGACTTCTTTGTCGCCAACGTTGTCCACCTTGCAATCCAATGCCAGCGCATCGGGAACGATCTCACGGAGATACTGCACGAGGGCGTGACGGCGGAACGGAGCCAGTGGCTCAGTCACGTAAACACCACACGGGCTGGACGTTGGATCGACAGGCACTGGTGACAGCAAGAACCGCTTCATCGCGACGACCGCGTCATCGTTCGGATCAAAACTCTCCTCCTCGTCGCCGTCGCTCTGCTCCAGACCCTCGACGAGCTGTTGCCGCCCAGCGTGCACAAGCTCTCCGGTGTCCTCTTCTATATCGACCTCCTCCGTCCCGATCTCGACATTGGCTTCATCGGCACGCGGCGGGTTGTCCTTCTCGTTCTGGTGGATATCGGCCGTGTCCTCTGGCGGAGTCGGAGCGTTGCAATCGTCTGTATCGCCACCACTCCGTTCGCGTTGTCCGTTCTTCGCCTCCTCGACCTTCTTGCCACGACAACGTCCACGACGTCGAGTCCCGTCGTCTTGCTCGCCATCTCCACTGATCTCCATCCCTCTATCTTGTCCTTCCTTGTCCTCGAAACACGCGAGTCTCTGCTCCAACTTGCTGGTCAATCGATCGAGGAACGCTTGCGTCTCGTCCGTGATCAGCGCCGGTTCGTCCGCGTCGAATCGTCTCAAGGTCTCGGGTCTCGTCGACGCTGCCAGCGCCGACTTGTACGGCTCCTGTTGTTGCTCGCAATGCGACAAGTGGCCAATGCCTCGGTCAATCCACGCATTGAGGTCGAAGCCGTGCGCGCGAACGTACTGCAGACACTTGGCTTGGACCAGGAACCTTCGGTCTGGACAGGCCGACGCTCCCGTCGAGCGACACTTCTCGTCCTGGAAACGCGGGAAAAGCGGGAACTGGTACGTCTCGACGTGGAAGCCACGCGACTCGGCGTGCCAGCTGAAAACCGCGAGCCCGAACTGCACGAGCGGGAACTGCTGGGCGCTTGCTCGGTACTGAGCGTAGCGCTCGTCGATCGAGTCCATGACACTGGGACGGGGCGTGCTGCAACGCACAAGCCACAACGAGAGAGAGAGAGAAAAGAGAGCGTTAGCAAACCCCATTGAGCCGCGTCGCAGTGAACAACAGTCCCTCTACACGCACTCGTGGCACGAGACGCCGCCCATCTCCGTATCAATCGCGACAAACGCGCTGCGGTCCACGACGCGCTGCAATTGACCGAGCGCTGCTGCGTCCAGCTCGTGGCGCCCGAGCTCTTGCACCTGCACGTCGAACACCATTTGTCCGTCTCCCGCAAAACTTGGATCGGTGGCCGTCCGTCAAAAGCTGCCACGTGCCTCTTCTTCTCCTTCTTCCTCTTCTTCTTCTTGAGTGGTCTTTTTCGCGAGTGAAGACAGAGGTCTGGATCCTGACACTTGCCAGCACGTCATTCAGCACTGGCTCAACGGCTGCGACGTTCCTGCCTCGACTCATCATCTTCACTGCTGCGTGCTGGTGTCCGTGGCTTCGTGTCCCTCTACCACCTGCAGCACACAACACAACACACACACACAAGTTGAAACACCTGTCTGCATGTTCACGTTTGGCCGACCTCTCTCTTCGCACTCTCTCAGGCCAAAGACGATCGAGCACAGAACCTGCAAGCGGTTATATTAGTAGCCCAACAGCTTGCACGTCCGAATTGCTATCGCTAACCCCATCATTGCTGCCCATGCCCCTCTACTCGTCTTCGTCGCTCGAGAAGATCAAGTCCTCCATCAACGCATCACCGCCAGTGTCCACCGCCAGTCCGCTCTCGTGACAAACGTATGCGTATGCATCCTGCCCCACGGTCTCGAGCAGTGGACCCATAAAGACGTCCCGGACAACCTGAAGGTCTCGACCCGAGTCCAAGAACACGGCTGCCACAAGGGCTTCGAAAACATCCGCAAACATCTTCGGCAGCGTGTGTCGGCTCGCACCGGCCGGGGCACCTTTGCCCTTTGCCTTCGCCTTTCGAGATACACTGACGGCTTCAAACGCTGGACTCAGAGTCGTACTCGACTCGTTACGCGCGTACTTCCGTCCGACATTGCTCACGCGCTCCATCGTCTCGCGGTCAATGCGAACGGCACCAGCAAACATGCACTCATCGACGCCGAAGCACGCCAGCGCTGTTTTGCCCAGGGCGTCATTCGAGACCGTTGCACTCTTCCACTGCGAAAGCGATCCAGGTAGCCACCGATCGTACATCAGGAAAGCGTACGACAGAGTCAAGTACTCGATCAACGCATCGCCTAGATACTCCAGCCGCTCGTAGTCTCCCTTCCACACCGTTTTCTTTTTCTTTTGCGTGCGTGAGATGACTGCACTATCGCCGTCCCCGTTACTCGCGTCCGCACCGTTGGCATCATTTTGGTCAATGTGAAGAACGAGCTGACCAACTGACGGATGCGTCACTGCTTCCAACAATAAGCGCTTGTTTCGAAACGTGTATTTCAACCGTTGCTGAAGCAGCGTGAGTCGCTTTGGCAGATCCTCAAACTGCGGCACCTTGAAGTTCAGACTCAGCGGGAGCTGGGCACCACGTGACACGATTGCAGCATCGTAGAGCTCGTTCGGAAAGCAGTCCGGGTAAAATGGCTGCGCAAAAGTAAACGGGTGCTCAAGAACGCTGATGCCAATCCACTGGAGAAAGTATCGCGCACCTTTCTCGCCTTGCCCGACCAGGTACGCACCAGTGATCGCTTCTAGTACGTCGGCGATCCATTTTGCTGGAGCTACAACCGGATCAGGCGTCTTGCCCATGCATGATGGCTTCCAACACTCAAAAGGATGCTGCTCCACTTCAGCCGGATACATGATGTAGTGGTGAAGGCGTGCCGCGAGTGCAAACTGATTGAGCCTGTCGTTGCGGATGATGTCGCGGCGAAGTTGCGTAAGTTGCCCCTCCTGCAAGATATCTTTCCGCTGTTCGTACATGTACCACGAAGTCTCAAGTTTCAAAAACGTATCCCCGAGAATCTCAAGTCGCTCGTACGCAGGCTTCGTAGTTGCATCATCCAGCAGTGACATGTCAAGCTCCAAACCGATTTTCCCCATCAGATGTGAGATCTGGCATTTGCGCTCGAATTCGTACAGAAGTGGCACCAACCCCATTGCATCGAAAAAGCGGCTCTTTGTCAAGCGCAGACGGGAGGTGTACTGCGGAATCAGCAAGCGCTCGTTGAACTTGGTTTTGTACTGTGCTACGCTTCCTTCGCTGCAATTCCGCTGCATTACTCTCCGAATGATAGGAACAATCGGAGGAACCTGGACACCGTGAATCAACGGCTGATCCGCATCAGCATCCTCGAGCTGTTGAAGGGTGTGCCAGCGACCTAAAATGGGATTGCCGGGAGTCGACTTCCCTTTTTTCAAGTGTGTCATCCACGCTTCCTTGTCTGCCAGATACTCCTTGCGAATGTCATCTACCGTACGATCGATACGGGCTTGTACCACATAGCTAACATTGAGTCGATGTGTTGGAACGCAGATCCATTCGTCCGTTGTGTTTGCTGCATCCTCTGAAGAACTCGTCGCCGGTAACGGCCACAGAGGCTCGAGCAGTGGCTTACGAATGACTTCGCGCACGTAGTCCCAGTCCAGCGACAGCGTCGGCGGCTCTGTCGATTCATCCAGTACGCTAGGCACAACCAAGTAGCCTTTGTCGTTTTGTTCCGAAAACTCGTTCCACACCTCTTCACTTGCAATGTCTACATCACGCACTGCGTCTTGTACACCCATGCATACCAGACGCATCAACACCAGATGAAAGTGGAGCGCATCGTGCAACTCTTGTCTTGTGACACTGAGCATCACAGGTTTCTTCGCCAGCGTTATCGGCGTGATCTCCGGTGACATCACTCCGCTTGTCGCAAAGTCGTAGCGCCACCCTGTATTGGTATTACCTGTATATAACTCGTTCGTCGACAAGATGGCGTAGCGCGCACCGCCGAGGCTGTAAAAGCACATCGTCGTCGACCACTCTTCGCCCTCTTCCTCAATACAGGCAGATTCTCTTGCCAGGCTTCGAATCGGTCGTAAACTCAATTCCACCGCGCTGACCGGTGGTAAGTCATACGATGACTGCGTTGATAAGTCAGCAAGTTGCGACCGATGTTCGGATGCTGCATCGTTTTCATCCAGCACGATCGTGTCATCAGAAGCAGCAGTACCATTTTCGTTACCCGCAGTGTCGTCGTCTATTTGGTCTGTATGTACCGTAGCCACTTGGTCGTCTATAAGCTTCGAACGGAAGTGACGGTCCAGCAACCCCTTCTTCACCAGTTCTTGACACGCCTTGAACGCAACAATACCCTTTGCCTCGTCTTGCGTCACTACCTGCTGCGAAAACAGCTGCTTCTTGATACCCAATGCGCCTGGAAGTTTCAGCGTTGCAGAAAAGTGAAATCGCGTGTCTTGGACGCCAGCGGAGTGAGTACTTGATGCTGACGATTCATCGTCGCCCTCCTTGCTATCGTCGCTACTGTCTTCGGCTGCTGCATTGGCCCGCGTCTCAGCTTCAGCTTTCAGCACATCAATTTTGTCCGTCAGCTTTGCGTTGTATTTGAGAAGCTTCTTTTTCGATCGCTTCACCGATACTGACATGCGCTTCACAATGGAGATTCGCTTCACTGTGTACTGTGGCCGACGATCGTACGTATCTAAACCTGGTAGCGTGTCGCAGAACTTGCTCAAGCACGCCACACTATTTGCCACGTTCAATATGGCGCCTGTGTCGCGATTGATAATCTCGTACGCGTTCCCCGTAGGCTCAGCTCGTTTCAGCATCCGGCCATCTACCTGTAGTGTAGCCGAAGTGGACCCCGTTGAGCTTAGAGCTGCAGCTTCCACTGGATCAAACGGCGTCTGTAGACCGTTGCACATCTCCGTAAATGCTGATTGAGATGCTGAAGGGTATGCCTGCTCATTTTCTTGCACGAGGCGAATGTGATCCTGCATTTTGCGAACAAGGACGTCAAACTTCTTTCGAGCTGACGCCGTGTCATCGGTAATATACTTGATTGAACCTCGTGCAAGATCGGCTCGCTTACCGAATTCATACAGCTTGTTGGCTTCCAGCAATTCATTCATTACCACAACTAGATCGCATTGTGGCGGAGCTATGCGCATTTTTTGTGAGCTTTCTAATACCGATGTGGTCACCATGATTGTTGTCCTAAAGTCTGTAAACATTTTCATCACTTTGAGGAACGATGCGAACTTAAGCGCTCCAGATATGCGAGCGTTGCTACTACCAAGCATGCAACAGCTCGGTGGTAAGCCCAGGTCTGCCAATGCTGTGGTCAAGTACTCAGCAACGACGCGGCAATGACATCGCCTTTCGAGAAATACCCAAGCTCGAATTTGTTTGTCTCCTGGAGAATTTCGAAAGCGATTTCGAACGACCTCGGCGGTCTTCAATAATCGCGGCGATGCTTCCAACGTCCCGCATAGCTCTAGCTGTACAGACAGCCAGAAGAGAACGTTCAAAATCGGTCGGATCTTCGCTTTTGTGATGCTATCGATCTCGACACCGGTGCCAATGAACCTGGCGATCAAGCGATCGATTTTTGCAGCCTTTTCCTCTACGCCCACACTCTCGTCAGCACTTGCCAGTTCCTTTTCTACTTCCGCAGCATCGTCATCATCTATTTCGCCACTTTCCAGTTCCTGGACAGAGTCATCCTCGCTTGCGTCTCCATCCATCGGATCATCCGCTGCTTCAACGCCATCACTCTGTTGCTTTCGTTTCCGGTTGTTCACATTGTCACAGTCGTTGACAATACACGCTTGCAAGTTGCCTTGCAGCTCTAGCTCGACAAACTTCCACAAACACCATTGACCAAGCTTCTCGCCCACCGTTTCGGCATCCTGGATAAATCGATTCACTTTATCCTGTTTCTTGCGCTCGTCGTACACGGCGGCCGAGTTGCCCAGCTCCAGCTCGAGTCGGAACACGTGCACGAGATTAATCTTCTTGCTATTGGCGCCCAGGAGGAACTCCCGCACACTTGGCACCTCCTGCGTGCGCTCGTTGAAACGCGAAAAGACTTCGCACTGCAGCGGCGCAACCGTCGCTGACGACGCCAACGTCGACGACGACGGCAACGAGAGCACTGGCAGCATGTGGACCACACTAATGTGCTTGAGCAACGGGTTCGTCCCGACGTTCCAGTCCATTCGCGACGCCAGAACGCGCGTCGTTGCAAAGATCCGCGGGCCGCCACACGGCAGCGCGTCCAACAGTCCCGTCAGCAGCTTGAAAAACGACGGCAAGTCAGCGTGCACCACGTCCCAGTCTTCGACCACGAGTAGCTGCACGTCCGTGGCCGCCAACGTGCCGCGGCGCAGCGTCTCTTGCAGCACATACGGCGACACGATCGCGACCTGACCCCGCGCGGCGTGCAGTTCCTGGCGCGCAAGTGCATCGTCGCTCATCCACGCGCTCGCGCGGTCTCCCTCGTCGCTGCAAATGATGGGTCGACCACACAGTCGCGCAAGTTGCCCTTGGAGGTGCGCGCGCGCGGCGGGCGACGCGGCGACGGCGAGCGCCACGTGCTGCGCGCTCGACGCCGCAGCTTCGCAGAGTAACATGCAGCCAACGAAAGACTTGCCCACGGCCTGGGCGCTGCTGACGAGGACACTACGCTGGCGCGCGACGGCCGCGAGCTCCCGCTGGTGGTCCCATAGCGCGGCGTCCATCGATGCGGAAACGAGAGTGATGGTCGCAGTGGTTTTTATCAGCCGTCGCTATTGTCGGTTGGGCGTCGCGTTGTCGAAAATCGACTGCCAATGAGGAGAAGGAGGGGGAGGACGTTATTGACGAAAAGTGGGGAAAAATGACACGCCCGGGGCGTGCGTGCTGTGTATTATTGACACTCTGGACCGGTGCGTATGTCGTAGGTGTGAGTGACTCGTGCGGGGCGAGCCATTCGGTCGGTCGTCCACGGTCGGGCAATCGACTGCGTTTTCGTACGATGGGTTGTGGAATATTCTAAAGTAGAAGTCATCCATCGACCGCATCCTTTTCTGCTGCCAGGCGTACAAAGACGAGCCATAAAGAACCCCACGACTTCAGCGCGTGCTTTGTTTACGATATTGTTCGTGCCGTCTGCCACAAACCGTCGACGTGTCACATACCGACCTCAATAGCTCCGCCACCTGCGGTCGATTTCGTCTGTCAATTGGCGTACCGGTGTCTTCTCTTCTTCCTCCCTCCCTTCGCACATGTTTGGTCCGTTCCTGCACTGCTCTGCCATCCACCACCGCCCGAGTCCGCAACAAGAAGAAGAAGAAGAAGAAGAAGAAGAAGAAGGAGCAGCGCAAAAGCACGAGTCGGTCTTAGGTACGGATCACGCACATGTCGACGCGAGAGCTGCTGCCGCCGCAGCTGTCACGATGCACAAGCAATGGGACGTCAAAGCTGCGTCGCTTTTGCGTGGACTCGAGCACGTCTAGCACTGCTGCGTCCCGGACATGTGCCGCAACTCGCTCTGTCGATCCACTCGTCGGCTCCTGAAGACGTACACGACCCATTTGTGTCCTGATCGACACATCGAGAGCCGTCGAGATGGTCACCGCAGCTGTCGCGTGTGCAAGCTCTGGCACTTTCTCATGCGCAAGCAGCAAGTGCACAAGATGCACTACGCACTCGTGCAGCAGCAGAGAGGACGTGGCGCGAGGTCGACGTCCGCTCGGCCTTGTCGATGGACACCACCATCCAGTCATTTAGTCCGCCGGGTCATTGCTGCTGCCGTGGAAAACGACGCACCGGACAGGCTGCGTCGCTTCTAGATCGCAAAAAGGGAAGTGCCCTAGTTTGATGCTGTCTGGTTGCAAACGAGTCGTATTGGCATGTAACGCGCTTTTGCAGCGAGATGTAGAGATCGCACGACGTCGTGCCGCAGCATACGGTCTGTTCATGGACGAATGTCTAGGCGGCATTGTTTGCTTCGTTATACTGGAGTCGAGTATCACAAACCGAGCTCCTTGAACCTTCACATGGATTGTTACGATCAGTCAGAAACACATGAGAATGTTAGACCATCGGATCGGTTCGTGCAACGAGATAATGACTGACTTGCAGTACGTACCTCTTTTGCTGCTGCTCTGCGAGCTTCGCCAGCGCTTTTGCAAACAAAGCATTGTCTTGGTAGTACATCAGTGCAGCTTGAAAGGCTTCCAAGTCCAGCTCAAACTTCTTACAGATCTCCACGGTCATTGTTCCAGACGCCTTGATGTATCGCTGGGAAAGTTGGTGGTGAAAGTCTGCGCCGGTGAGCTTCTCCGTGCGCAACTCTGTCACGATCGTTTCCATCTCGCTCGTCAGTGACGGGATCAGCTCCTCCATTACACGAATGACCGTCGCCACCTCAATACTCGGTTTATCTCCTGGTACCGCCTGTAGACAGTGTACAACAAGCACGACAAGCATCAGTCAGTACAACAGCACTGCAACCGCAAACCAGACACCGCCCGAGCCGCGCTCTCTTTCTTACCCGCGCCGACTTGGCTCCACGAATCAGTGGCTCGCGCGAGCCCGTGACTTTCCATCGCAGACGTCCGAGCTTCCGCACAAAGTCGCCAATCGTCTCTGCTTCAGCCACGGAGATTTTTCCATCGGGACCGCCACCTCTCAGCGTGCCGGCCACGAGCTGCTGCATGGCCTCCTGCACCTGCTTCTTTGTCACGTAATTGTTACGAAAGACCGCGTCTTGCACCTTCTCCAGCGTCGACTCGAACTCGACACTCATCTGCAGAGCACGTTGGTCTGGTGAAAGCTTTAACGTGCCACCATTGGCCTTTTTCTCCTTCTCGACGCTCTTCTCCAGATCCTCCAACATCCGTGCAGCAAAGACACTCATGTTCTGGTCAATCTGCTCGTACAGACGCAGCAGTGCCGCCACGTGCTGGATCGGATTCACAGTGTACCCATCTGCATCTCCACCGGCCGGCTCTTCACGCTCGCTCTGGGCTTCTGTACCCAGTGCCATAGCCACAAAAGCGCCTCCCACCGCCAACGTCGTTGCCACATAAACTCGCTTTACGCGGCTCCTAGGAACCGCATTCGATCCAGAAAAAGCAGCAGCCGTGTTCGTCAGTGGCGATACGTGCTGCACATGGCGCTTCGTGGTGCCAGATCCTGCTGCTACTCGCACGCCATGCTGCACACTCTGGCGCGAACAGATGCGCGCGATTGCTTTCATCGAACGGTCCTCACGCGATTCGTGTGTCGAACGCGTGTGCCACACCAACAATCATCCAGCAGCACGCAGGCGCAATATGACACACGGCAGGTTTCTACTTGAGCAGATCGGTCGAAAACCGGACTCGTTTCTATCGCAGAGATCGCGTCGACTGCGCACTTAACGGCGGCCAATCATCTTTTCGATCGACGAGCAGCGCCGCGCCATCGACCGCCGCGCCATCATGAGTGATACACCGCTGCTGCTGCTGGGCACGGAGGCCGTGACCGACGTCAAGCTGCACCCTGTCGTCGTACTGCAAGCGCTGGACCGCTCCCTGCGTCGTGCAGAGGGCCAGACGCGTGTCATTGGCACGCTGCTGGGCCATATCGAGGGCGGCGTCGTCGAAGTCACCGAGTCGTTCGCGGTTCCGCACTTAGAGAACGGCGATGAGGTCGCCGTGGGGCGCGACTTCCACACGCACATGTACGAGCTCCACAAGCGCGTGAACGAGAAGGAAGTGGTCGTGGGCTGGTACGCCGCTGGTCCAGGCGAGCTGGACGACCACTCGGCGCTTATCCACCAGTTCTACAGCTCTGTGTGTGAGCTGCCGGTGCATTTGGTGATAAGTACGGACCTGCACGACGACGCACTGGACGTCGCAGCGTTCGTGTCGTCTCCACTGGAGGTCGTCGACACGACGCTCGTCCATCAGTTTAAGCAGATTCCAGTGACCCAGAAGCTCTCGGAGCCTGAGGCCATTGCCCGTACGTTGCGACTTTGCTTCTCCCTGTGGCTTACCACTCATTTTTTGGCTCAGTAGTCGAATGTATGGTGCTGATGTTGCTGCTCGCTTGTCTGTGTCTTTGCTTGGGTGGATGTGCGTGTCATTAGTGAACGCAATGGTGCCCACGAACGGTGAAGCGAAAGCAAGAGCGCTGCCTAATGAGCTGGAGGCGCTGGAAGAGACGATGGAGAAGCTGTACACGTGCATTGATGGAGCCAGCACCTTTGTAGGCGACGTGGTGGCCGGCAAGCAGACGGCGGACGCAAAGCTTGGTCTAGAGATTGCAGACGCACTGGCAGCTATCCCCATGTTGCGTGCTGAACAGTTTGATCAGCTCTTTAGCACGGGTCTCCAGGACCTGCTGATGGTGTCGTACCTGTCTGGACTCACACAGGCGCAGCTGTCGATGGCTGAGAAGCTCATCAATGCCTGACTTGTGGATGTTTCGATCGCTGGCTAGCTGGACTTGCAGCTTGTTTCGGTAGTTTGCATAAGCGTGAAGAGGTTGAACAGGTGGGCTGCATTTCGCTGCTTTGACTGGGCAGGTGGATGTGTACTTGTTGTGTGAGTGGTGCTTGAGTTGATGCTGATACGCCGGACTCAGCGGCTCAGCCTGAGTCTCCTGTGGATGAACCCGGTGGTGCCACATATGGCTGCAGAAGTGTATGTCTCGCATCGCCATCAATGTGTAGATAGTCCAGTCTCGTGCACGCCGAAAGCATGAGTTGTAGCGATAGGATTGACACCATGATGAGGACGACACGCACTACCATCGCTTTGGGCGTTCACGTTAGCTTGTGTTCCGTGTTGCGTCGAGCTGCTTTGATGGCTCCGCGTGAGTGAGTCCAAGCTCGCAGTCGACTCTTCCTTGTTCAGCGTGCCCGACATTCGATGAACTGCTCGTCGCGATGCGTCCGTCACTCGTCCAGTCACGCGCTCTCGAAATCATCTGAGCCTGTTTGTGTTCCAGACGTTAGTTGGGACACATCGATCAGGAGTAGTAGAGCTCGTGGCCTACGTCAAAGCCGCGGCACAAGAAGCGAAGGTCTGGACATCATTGCGGTTGAACATGTGCCGCTGTTTACTTGTCAGTAGCCGCCAGCACAGCACAGTCTTGTCGTGAAGCACTGAACAAGCACAAACCAGCGTTAGGTCAGTCGTTGCCTCGATTGCGAGATCATGACTTGCTCTGCTTTTCTACACGAGTCGCCCTCGACTACTGACGGGACGTCGCTATAGAGCCACAGCCTCACGCGAAACGTTCAATGAAAATCCAACGTCACTCTCGCGGTTGCATCGCACTCGCTCAGACTACGCAGGTGCACAGCGCTGTCATTCATTCAGTAGACCAGACGACAACGCTGCTAGCTGACCTATGCTTGACAGATGCCGACGGGGCGCCAGTCATCGTGCCTCAACGACTGTCCAGGTCCGAGCCAGCTGCGGTCTTTCGCGCAACGAGATGACGACACATGCAGTCGGTTCCCCCGTACCGCCTGTTCTGCGAAATCGCACGACGCAATCGTGACGAGCATCGTCGACACGAGTTGCAGAGATCCAGTCAATCGGTCAAAGATACGAGAGCTTCGTTGTCGTCCTGTCGTCCACGAGCCACCCTCCAGCAGCAGGAACTACGAGACAACACTGTCCATTCGCGTGCACGGAAGCTGCGGAAGGAGACGGTAACCTGGTGCTGGCCGTCACACGCACTGTATTGACCGCTTCTCCTGCTCCTCCCGAGAGATGCGGCAACGCTGTAAGGGCCTCCTAAGAGTTCCCATCGTTGACAAAAGCACAGCGCAGTTGACTGATGTGCATCTCGGACGCCTTGAGCTTCTCGGGGCTTCAATACTTGCGCAAAGTCGTGCAGGACCTCTGCGAAGAGGCAGTGTCAGTAGCGCTTACCAAATAAATTTCGCAGGCACTTGCGACGGACAGTCACATAGATGATCCACACAAAGTCTTACATGACTCTACTGCACTCGTCCCACCTGTCTTAACCCGAACAACGACGTCGATGCTCTGTATGTCGTCAAAGAAACAACACACTTCCACCTCAATCGCCTTGTCGCCGAGCACGTCCTCGCGCCGTTTTGTGCGCTATCGAACGCTCTTTTCCATGCGTGTTGTTGCACTGGACACAGAAGAAGCATCTGGTCGTTGCAACGCCGCGCAGGTGGCACTTGGAGTCTCGATATACAAAGCAATAGCCACTCTACCCATGCAAATAGAGACCATCAGGACACCGTTTGTTGACAACAGTCAACATGTAGCCATCATGCATCACGACGCACGTTTCGCTCTTGCAACAAGTTTTGCCGCTTGGATGCAATCTTTCCTGCGACGTAGCGCCGCCAGACACGAACAGGAACTGACGTCCGCGACCGTCTCCTTAGCTTCTCAAAGTAGTCGCAACATGACGAGACCGGAACGGATTGCCACGTTTGCTGTTGCTTGTTATCTTGGCCATGTCGGGCTCCAGACACTGGTGGCATACTGAAACCGAGTGGATCTTCTGGACTCGCAAGCGTCGCAAGCAGCAGCACCACGCCGCCCTCTCGCTTTTTGACCACTTTTTCCATCATTCGGCGATTTGCTTCTGGTACCGTAGACGCCAGCGGCAGCGACTGAGCGAAAGGTCTAGACTTGGCCAACATGGCAGCAGTGTCGCTGCATGGCGTGGAGACCGCATTCGGCAATCGGCGCGACGGCATGACTCGCAGCCTGTCGCCCACGTGTGGCCACGCGCCCGCATCGCCGCTGCGTCAGCGCCGTTTCAATCTCAAGAAGCTGCGCGAACTCGCACGCAGCGACGAGTTTTCCGACAGCGAGAGTGACGGCGTGGACAGCGAAGAGAAGGAGAACGTCGACGGCGTCGCGGACGCTGTGGCCGGCACCGAGTTTGTGCCCTATCGCTTCCCTTTGTCTCCGTGTCCGATCGTAGTAGCGCGACGCCGGAAACAACAAAAGAAGAGCGACTACGAGACCGGCAGCAGCGCAAAAGGCGACGAGTGGGAAGTGATTGACAAGTCGCCGACGTTCGAGAGCATTGCGGAAGGCACGATGGACTTGGGTGGAGAGAGCTGGTTCGTGCAGGAAAGAGAGCAATAAGCTACAGAAAGAAAGAGAGAGCGAGCGAGCGAGAGCGAGAAACGGGCGTCGGCTTACCCCATTTTGACGTCATTCCACGGGTAACGACGCCGACTTTATCATTTGCGTACCTTCATGAACTGCCGTGTTTCCCATCCAGTCTTGTGTCTGCTGCTAGTCCTCCACCCGTGGACGCTTGCTATGCGTCAGGTAACGCGGATTCTCCTGAGAGGAAGACTGCGATTGCGACAGTGTCTGACTAGTGGCAGACGTGCTCATCATGGTGCTGCAATGCAGCAACAACAGCAACAATCATAGATCGACACTATCAGGACAACAACTACCACCAGCACTATCACCACCGCCGCCACACAAGCGACTCGATGCACTCACTCGTTGACGCACAGCGTAACTTCGGCCTCGGCGCACGACTGCGACGATGCCGGTACGAACGTCGTAACTGTGGACAGCGTCAGCTCGATCGAGAACTTGGCCATCGACGTCGACTCGGCCGTAAACAACACGGGACTGTATCATGCACACACGACACAACACGACGCGACTCACACCATCAGTTCACGCCGCTGCAAACGCTCACTCTTCCATTGCAGCATTCCACTCACCTCCCACTTGTCGTGTAGTAGAACGAGACCTCCAACACGTCACTCGTCTTGCAGAACGCCAGCAGCGCCTAATAGGACCAGTCACCGTCGCAACGCATCATCAGTCTGCATCCTCTCTCTCTCTCTTTCTCTCTCTCTCTCTTCTTCTTCTTCTTCTGTCCCTCTGTCTCCAGCCACAAGCACAGCTAAAACAATCTTAACAACGTTCACTCACCCTAATCTCTTTGATACAAAAGATCAACTGCGCGCCCGCGGGCTCACCCCACGTCGTCGCTGCCGGCTGCAGCACATACTCACTAAACTCACCGCTCTCCACCGCCGTCTCCGTCTGTAGCTGCGCTTTCCCCTCAGTGCCAGTCGAAAAGTAGCTCTCCACCTTCACGTGCGTCGGCGAACACGTGACGCTCACTTCGCTACTGTGCTGCACGTGCGCCAACAACGAGCTCAGGTGGTGCTGCCGCGTTCGCCAGTGGTTTGCGCACGCGCTGCGATCAAACACGGCGCGCATGACCTGACACGACTGGACCTTCATATAGTGCGTCTTGGTGATGTCGAACGCGCAGCGCAGCGTCCAGCGCAGCGCCAGACAGTCCAGATCCACTTCGTCCGCATTGCTGTTGTTGTTGGCGGTGTCACTGCGCGGCGACAGGGCCGCTTCCTGACTCGCGTCCGCCCCGTCGAGCGCTTCTTGGTCCACGAGCAGCGCCAGTTGGACGCTCTGGACGTGCTTGAGCGTGCGGAACACGTTGCAGCACGACTTGGCAAACACTTTGCACTTGGCAAACGGTGCGCGGCCGCCAAAGCGCGCGCAGAGCGCCTCGCGCGACGATATTGCCACGTTCTGTAGCGTCACACTGCCCGCGGGCGACTCGATAAAGAACGAGCGCGCGAGCACCACTTGGCCCGAGGCCGAGCGCGCGTCGTTGAGTGCGCGGAGCGTGAGGCAGCGGGCCGCAATGTCGCACTCCATCGACAGCTCCTTGCCGACTTGCGCCAGGCACTGCAGCGCCGCGACAAACACCTTGAGCGCGTCCTCGACCAGCTCGAGCCGCACTTCCATCGTACAGCAGCGCACGGCGACCGTGCTGCACGCGCGTGCCGTTCGTTTCCCCTCGCTCGAGTGACAACCGCACGCGCGGCCACCTCCGACCATCACTCTGCGCGCGTGCACCTCATACAACATCGACACGAGCGACCGCGCATCGTTCGTTTCCCCTCGCTCGAGTGACAACCGCACGCGCGGCCACCTTCGACCATCACTCTCTCGATTGCACCCAACATCGACACGAGCGACCGCGCATCGTTCGTTTCCCCTCGCTCGAGTGACAACCGCACGCGCGGCCACTTCCGACCATCACTCTCTCGATTGCACCCAACATGGACGAGATCGCCGAGCTGCAGCAGCAACTGGCGGCGGTGCAGCAGCAGGAGGCGGCGCTCAAGCTGTCGGACCACAACGTCATCGACTTGCTGCGCAAGCTGCAACAGACCGGCAAGCTCCAGGTCATCCACACGCGCACGGGCAAGCAGTTTCTCACGCCGCTTCGGGTGCAGCGCGAGGTCGCCGACTACGTGGCGCTCTACGGCGGACGTGTGAGCCTCACGGAGCTCGAGAAGCTCATTGACGTGGACCGGACGCACGTCGAGAAGCAGGTGGCCGCGCTCTGCCGCAGCAGTCGCAGCCACAAGGACTCGTACGTTGTGGTCAACGACGGCGAAGAGGTGCTCACGAGTTCGTACTTAGACGGGATCATGGAAGACACGGACGTGCTGTTGCAAGAGCGCGGCACGACGTCCATTGGGGACTTGGCCCAGCACTATGGCTTTGCCGTCGACTACATGCGGGACGTCGTACGGCGGCGCCTGGGCGGGATCTTGCGAGCGCGTGAGCGGGACAATGTCTTGTACACGGACGCGTACGTGACGGCCCAGAAGGCGCGACTTCGGGGCGTGTTTGCGGCAGTGACACGTCCAGCGTTCGTGCTCGACGTGCTGCGTTCGTTTGGCATCGACGAAGCAGTGGCGAACGAGGCGCTGGCCGAGTTGTTGCAGGCCAAAGTGCTCATGGGGACGCTGCGAGGCCGTGAGTACGTGCCGTACGTGTTTATGGACGCCCAGCGATCGAGTATGTACTCGTTTTTTCAAGAAAATGGGTACATTGATCACGCACGAGCGCGCGAGCTGCAAGTTGCTCGGCCGTACGACTTTCTGCGAAAGCGGTTTCCAGATGCTGTGCGGCTCCAAGAGAGTGTCGTGAGTCGCGCGTTGCAGCTGCAGATGGACGGAGCAGTGGAAGCAGCGGTGACCGAGGAGTCCGTCGTGGATGTACGGTCGGTGGTGCCGAGTGCCTTGTCAACAGGCGACGTGGCAGCGCTGCTCGTGCTGTCGCCGGCGTTGACAAAGACAGGACACGAGCCCACGGCGTTCCAGATTGCAGACAGTTATGCAGTGAGCGCAGGCTTTTTCAGGTCGTGTATGGACAAGTTTGAGGAAGATGCGCGGGTCAAAGCGACGCGTGCTGCCACTCAGCAGAAGAGTAGCGGTGGTAATGGTTGTGCTGTTCGGGAAACGAGACAAGACGTTGACGAAGGCGATGCTGTGGACGAAGAGGAGGCTGGCGGGAAGGTGGGCAACAAGAAAGAGAAGCGTGGCAAGGGTGGCAAGAAGCGCGACCAAGAAGAGTCGGGAGGACGGAGTGGAAAGGCTGGAAAGGCCAAGAAGGGGAAACGAGGAGCCAAGCGGGGCGGAGATGTTGGCGACGACAGTGAGGCTCGAGCGTCGTCGACTCAAGTCTCGATCGTGCCTACGCGTGAGGAAATCATTGACCTTCTTGTCAAGTGGTTTCCAGTCGTTGCGGATCTAGAAGGTGACGATGACTTTATGGACGGCATGGTGGCACATCTGGAAAGCAAGATTGCCAACGTGTACTCGACCGCTCTGGCCAAGGCGCTGTCGAGCGTTCTACGAGGAGATGCTGTGTCTTTGCGCGAGCTGCGCAAGACGTTTGAAGAACGCTTCGACGAACTCTTTTCGATGCTGCTTCTATTCGAAAAGGGCTTTAACAAGCTATCGATGCACGTGGATGCCAAGGATGTTGCTGGCATGGAACAGCTTGCTGTCGTGGAGGTGCATTTGCTTGCATCGTCTGCTGTAGTGCTGACAGCTTTGGCCACAAGTTTTGTTGCTGAAAGCAACAGTCTTGAAATGGAAGACGTGCCGCCCCTGTCACGTTCTGGTGGCAGCGAAGAGGACGGGAGTAAAAAGGCGGCTGGTCCTTTGACGACCCTGAGCGACGAGGACAAACGAGTACTCGAGTCAAGTCTTCCGCAATCGACTGCAAGTGCCCTGGTGCGATCATGGACACTGGCTACCGCTGGTCGTCGATCACTAGGCGATTTCATGGCTCATGTGCCGATTCTGGCCGATGCTCTGAGTATGCCGCTTCCCAAACTAGATCGTAAAAAAGAGCGTCAGATCATTTTCGGGTACCGACAAGCAACGGTCGCACAGCTGGACGAGAAGGTGGCACTCGCGACTGAGGGCGACCAGCACTATGCTTTGGTTGCAACGATGGTTTTGCAGCTATTCTTCCAGCAGCTCACTGGACTGCCAGGCAGTTTTCCACGTGAAACTGTGTCGTACGGCGAAACGGTGCTTGCCGCGTTCCAGGGTTCTATGCCGGAAAAAGCGATGCTTATCATGCAAAGATTCGTGCGCGTGGCAAGCGCGATTGGTAGTGGCGATGGAGTCGCTGAAGAGCAGCAGAGTACGTGGAGCGAGAGTCTGAACGCTGCGCGAGCGTTGGTGCTGTTAAAAGACATGAGTTGTGTAGCATGAATGAAATGAATTGAACTGCACACGTGTGTCTGCAAAGCGCTGCCTGACAGCTTGGCATGGAGAATGAAATGGTGCATCACACGAGTCGGTCCCGCATCTCCAGACCGCGCTCGTCTTGTCTAAGTTTTGATTTTTGTGCGTGTTGCTTTGCTTCCACAGCAGTTTTCGTCGGTCTCGAGTGAAGCACTGGTGACATTCTCACGCACACACTGTTCGTTCGTTCGCAATCCGCTGGACAATGCGTGAAGCAGTGCTGGCCAGGCCGCTCATCGCAGCATACTGCGATCGCGTCAGGTTACGGCCTTGTGGGTCGGCACAGCACACGGACCCGATGACTGTCTCGCCATCAGAGCCGAGCAGTGGGAACCCACAGTAGAAGTTGATCCCCATTTTCCGGACAATGGACATGGCGCTAAACCGGACGTCTGCCTGTACATGGCGAGCCACGAGAGGATTGCGGTCCAAGATGCTCTGCGCACACAACGACTGCTCTCTCGGGAACGACTGGCCGGCCGCTATTGTCGCATTCGAGGAAGCCAGCACATGCAGCTTGGCCTTGTCGACCACGGTGATCATGCTCATAGCGCAGTCCAGTTCCCTGGATGCCAGTGAGCAAATGATGTCCAGCTCAGGCACACTGCCAAAGTCGTGCAGCCGCTGGCCACGGATGATCTCTAGTCGCTGACGCTCGTTGAACGGAATCGGCGGCACGATCGCTTCCTCCTTGTTCTCTGGAAACTTGATCCGGTAGCTCCTCGAGTCTGCGTTGGCCAACGGATAATCACCGCCATGGCACGGTGCGTCTGCCCATATCTGTCCGAGCTGTCGGACACTGCCAACCAGGTTGTCGTCATCGCTCTTTTCTTCGTCGACCAGAAAGTCTCGACTGCGTCCACTCAGCAATGAGAAGCCACGGCCGCTTGCATCGACCGATACTCCGCGGCGCTTCGCTAGACTTGCTCGTCTCTGGGTACGGTCTTCATTGACAATATCTTTCATGACCCGCAAGACACTCGCTTTGCGTTGTTGCTGCGCAGGTCCACCAGCCGTTGCGTCCGCTAAGATTTCCAGCAAGAGCGTATTCAGCGATGTTGGACGAGTCCGGAGATTGGGTCGAGTGTGTCGCGAACGGTCATGTCGAGCTCTTCCACCGGGCGTACTATTTGGACGCGGTACTGGTGAACATTCGTCAGGGATCACGTGCGCTGGACGCAAATCGTCTTCCGTCACGGCTGTATATCGCGCTTGATCGACACGAAGGAGACATCGTTCACACACTTGCACTTGCTCAATCTGTGGCCGGCTGTCCCCTCGCGCACAATGTTCCCGCTCTTGGATGTGGGCACATTTATTGCAGACAACAAAGCCACAGAGACAGCATAGCCGCTGCTTCGAGCGCTTGAAGCAGCTCGAGAATGGACGGTAGCAGCAAGCACAGTGAGCCAAGGCAGTCGTGCTCGCGGTCTCGGCTGAAAAGTACGTGCTGTTGATAATGACTTGCATCCCAAGACGTCGACGTCGCACGACCAGGAGGTACCGCTGACAACTGGCGGCAAGACGAAGCATCCAGAGACGAGCTTGACGTCGTTCGTGACCAGCACGTTTGAAAGCATCGTGGGCATTGGGTGGCAAGTACTCGCCATGGAAAACCACTCGAGTGCCGTGGCCACTCGAGTCTTGTTCGAACGAGTAGTTGATGATGACATTCGGGACATGCCGGAGCAACTGAGACCGTGAATGGAGCGACCGTCTGGTATCCAAGACAATGCTTGGACGTGCAATGGATACCAAGGTCCTGGTGAACCCTGACCGAGGACTTGACAGACGCGGTGTTGACATTGCCGTGCGTCTTCCAATTGCCTGCTCGTCGGACGCACGGTCGCGAGGTTGCAGTAACTCGAGAAAGCACCACGACATTTGCTTGGGAAAGACTCGACGGCGGCTTTCAAACGTTGCAGACTTGATCGTCAACTCGTGATCGTCGAAAGCTCTGGCGGGATCACCACTTGGTTCCTCTTCGAGCTCGACCGTCCGCAGGAGCTCGCCGTCCACAAACTCACGACGATAGAGACTCTGCATCATATCCCGGAAGATGTCGGAGGAGTGCACACGGAACACCAGTCGCAGTTCCTGCACCGTGCAGGGCAAAGCAGTTTCAGCCAAGACCGCAAAGCCCTTTGGTCCCCATCGAGTCTGATGTCGATGGTCACGGACAGTCAGCCGCGTGAAGACCTTCATCTCCGTTGACCGTCTGCTGCAACGGCTCTTCTTGGGTTTCCAGACGGAGCTTTTCCGTCGATCGCCGGCACTTGCTGCAAATGCCGTCGCGAGTTCCACGTCCAGATCGTCCCAATTCACTTTGGCAGCAGCTGCTACGCCGAGTTCGTGCATTCGTTTGTCACTCCATTGCGCCGAGTCCCGCCTGGACTCAATCGTCGGTGGACGCTGATACCGCGAGTCCCCAAAGCCGTTCCACGACAAGAGCTTCTCACTGCACGGTGTCGGGAATTCGTTCGTGGTGCTGCTCTCGCCGCTGTCGTAGCTGTAACTGGGGTTCATCATGGCTACCGATGTCGAGCTCGCTCCGTTCACGACCATGGACGTGGACAAGTCTGGACGTGGCTTTCGTCGAGAACTGGAACGCAGAGGGGTGTCTCGAAGCTTCTTTTGGCTAGCCAACGTCTCGTTCCCAGCCGCGTGGTCGGCGCTTCCCTCACTGCCATCCTCCTGGTCATTGCTATTGTGGTGGTGGAGGTGATGTCGATGGTGGTGGTGGTGGTCGTTGTCCTGCTTCTTCCCAGCTGAATCCATGCGTGCGGTTGCTGGTGCTGCTGGACAAAAGCGCATTGGCAAGTGATGGTCTGGCTGACGGCCCTGGCCGTGGGTCACAGGAGTGGGCTCGAGATGTGCTCACGCCTTTGCTCCGCATCTATCATGCGCCAAAGGGTACAGCAACTGGGCGCCGTGTTGTCGACTGAAGCGATGCGAGTTGTCAGCGTGCGTGCGTGGCTGACTCGCGGGGCTCGATTCAGTTGATACATCTCGCGCTGGTCTCCGGAACGAGCTCTCAATCGCACGGTCGGTGTCTTGCGAGCGATGCCGTTTCTGATCGTATGGCACATCTTGGAGGCCACACGCTCCTCGGAAAAGAGGCGGAAGGAGCTGACAAGGGGATCAAGATGGAGCTGCTGGACGTCGCAGGTAGACGGTGCCATGATGGACATGACAAATCTCGAAGCCTCTCTCTCTCTCGCTCTCTGTCTAGTTGACAACGAGCTCGCGTGCAGCTTGGGATCAACGTCCCGCTTCCGTGTTACGAAGGACAGGGTCGACATATATGCACGTGGGAGACAAGTCACACGGCAAAAAGGAAGGACAGAGTCAGTGGGTGCAACAACGACGCGATTGGAATGCAGAGACTGTTGACTGTCGCTGCGTGACGGATCAGATGGAGGCGACTCGACGTGGAAACAGGCTCCGGCTTGCGGTGCAATGGCGTGAAAAAGACCGGAGCAGTTTATCTGCCGGGATCAAAGACATGTGCTGCTGCTACGGTTTCGAGCAGCAGCTGTAAACGAAGGCAGCGGCAATTGATCGTGTCACGAATGGAGCAGTAATTGTCGACAAGGTTGACCTGGATCACGTCTGGAAGAAATGTTCTGCATGCTCGTGTCCATCGCTGGCTGTTGACCGCCCGATGATCTGCAGGGAGCGCCACGAGGACGAATGAAAGAATTGCAATGGTAGCCACGCATGCTATGCACGAGCGTACCTGGTAAACCGTCACGGTCGTCATGTTTTGATCGGACGGGGCCATTACGACACCGAGACGATGATGGACCATGTCACGGTGGAACGAGCATCTTTGCTTGGCGTCAGGTGTTACTACTTTTGCGTGACAAACGTCCACCTCTACACCAGCATCAAGGTACCAGTGCCTGCGTGTGTGGCCATGAGGTGAGGCGGGACCTCGCCAGCGGAACGTTGTCGTTGCAATGCCTTGACTGCTGCCACGTGATCTACTGGACAACCCGACGTTCGTACATCGCTTTGCCATGCAGTCTATGAAGCGCACGTTGAGTGTGCATGACCCCACTTCTCGACAACTTCCCGGCGATAATGGACACAGAGTCCTCCGCTGCGCCTTGCCCACGTCTGGTCTGGTGGGGCAGTTGGAGCCTGTTGGCACTGCACTTGTGTCCAGAACTGCAGTGTCGAGAGTCGCAGTGACTGACTTCACTGGGATCTCTGAGCGCAACAGCAGATGATGGGACGAAGGACTCTGGTGATGGTCGTGGCCTTTTGACGACTGGCCCGAGTGCCATTCGTAGCGATGGCGGTCAGCTCTTGACGTGGTGGGGTGCGTTGGCACGAAGTCAGTCAGTCGGCAGCTGTGGGGTTCATGACGGCGCATGTCTCCATTGAAGAACGGGGCAACTCGACGAGCACTGGTAAAATGCTGTCGGTCGCTATGCAGGTGACAGGACACTGGCGATCTTCCCAGTCCTGCCAGAAGATGATCCAGTGAAGCTGGAGATCGCGTACAGAAGTCGGCAACGGAATCTGCTGGGACCTCCAGCACCAATCAGTGTCAACAAAGACCATGCGCTGGGTCAACCTGCCGCCTCATAACCGCCCAAAGGTACATACGATCCATGCCAATGTGTCCATATATGTCAACTGATGTTGTCGTGTGCACTAGACATAGCCGATGGGGTCGCAGGGTGCTACGAGCGCACTCACTCACTCGAGAACAGCGCGGTATGAACGCATCGCTGACTTGTGGGCACGTGACGGCCAGTGAGAGAGAGAGAGGCGCGCGCGCGTCTGCCTGAGTCTGACATGCATCGCTCTTCGTTTTTGCGGGGCGATCGCTCGGGAGGTTTGCGACAAAAGGTCTCTCACGTGAATATGGATCGGTCCCGGACCATGCAGGACGTACACCACTTCGTCGGTACGTCGCATGTGCGTTTATCTGTCGCGAGTGACTGCGCGATTCACGAACGCAGTTGGACTGTGGGCTGTCGTCGAGAAGCGGTTCGAACGTGTTGTTCAGCTCTTGTCTTGTAGCAGCCCAAGCTCAAGCTCTGCTTCCCACATCACCTGCAGATGGTGGGCGCTCCACTCGTGTGCTCAGAAAGCCTCCGTCCACCTCTCCGGCTCCCGACCAGGTAGAAGACTTTTGACAGACAGAGAGACCGGATGGACATTCGACCAGCAGGAGCTGCTCGTTGCAGCACTCGGAACGCACCAAATGCCATCGCCCGCAGGTGCAACAAAAGCCACTCACTCACACAGGACACTGCAGCAAACGAGGGAAGTTGGCAACAGCGTCTCTGCGTGCACGAGAAGCAAAGGCCAATGCGTTGATAGTGGCTGTCAATGTCGTGGGATCCCGACAGCGAGTCCGATGAAACCCCAACGTCCGTCGAGCAGCAGCTGAAGAGGTACGCACACTGTCGATCAAAGCCGACCGAAGAAGAAACGCCTCCATGGAGCTGCACCAGTGCCCGTGTGTGTGTGACACGGGGACGGACAGGTCCTCAATCTCCATCTCTCACTTGTCGGACAGGCAGAGCTGTTACGATTTGAGGCAAGAAACGAGCCGGGGACAGGTGCAACTCGGCCGCATGGGCGGCGACTGGTGTCAAATCGATTGGCTGCACGCTTCAAAGCGCAGATCCGATCGCCGACGGCGTACGTCACACCCCCGTCCTGGTCCGATTCGCTCTCCCTCCACCTCTTCTCAACTCCCCCTCGACATTCATAGTCCGATCATCCACGCAACGCATCTGTCGTTTCGTCGTCTCATTCCTTCCCCCAACACCCGCCAACAACAACACCCGCCAACAACAACACCCGCCAACACTCGCTCCCCACCAGTCATTTTGTCAATGGTACTGCTGAGTGAAAACGACAGCTACCGAGCGGTCGACGTATCAACCACAGCGCCCGTAGCCCCGACAAAGTCATGGCCGCGCCAGCTCCTCACGTCGCTCACGTTCTGGATCATCGTGGCAATGGTCGTCGGGATCCTCTTGGGGCAATTCGCGCCGTCGTTTGCCCAACAGGCCGCGCCGCTGAAGAACCTCTTTCTGCGGTCCGTGCAGTTCATTGTCTTCCCGCTCGTCTTCTCGTCGCTCGTGATTGGCATTGCCGACCAAAAGGACATGAAACAACTCGGCCGCCTCGCGCTCAAGTCCATCATCTACTTTGAAGTCATTGCGGCCTTAGCGCTCATCTTTGGTCTCGTGGCGGCCAACATTATCAAGCCGGGAAAAGTCGGCCTCACGCAGGTCGACGACTACGATGGACCGACCAAGTCGTCGTTCACGCTGGAAAAGTGGATTGACCACTTGACCCCGAAGACGTGGGGCGAAATGATGGGCGGGAACGGCACGTCGGAACTTTTGCAGGTGCTCGTGGCAGCGATTCTCACGGGGGTGGCCACGTCGCAGCTCGAAGACAAACACAAGCACCTGATCATTGACTTTGCTCGGGCCGTGCTCGAGATGATGTTCAAGTTTGTCGACATTGTGATCTGGACAGCGCCCATTGGCGTCTGCTTTGCCATTGCCAATGCAGTGGGCACCAACGGTCTCTCGTCGCTCGGAAGTCTCGGCGCCCTCGTGGCCACAGTGTATGGCACGATCCTGCTCTTCATCCTCCTGGTCTTTGGCACCGTGTGTCTGATGTTCAAGATCCCGTGCATTGAGTTCCTAACAGCGATGAAAGACCCGTTGATTATCGCCTACACGACCGCTACGTCCGAAGCTGCACTGCCCAAAGTGTTTGACTCGCTCGCGCGCTACGGCGTCTCGAAACACGTCTCAGGCTTTGTCGTCCCGTTTGGCTACTCGTTCAATCTCGATGGCTCGACGCTGTACCTCTCGCTTGGGGCCGTGTTCTGTGCCCAAGCCGCTGGCGTGGACAAGTCCATTGGCGAGCAAGTGGTCATGGTCTTGATGCTCATGATCTCGTCGAAAGGCGTGGCGGGCGTGCGCTCGGCGTCGATCATTGTCATTGCGTCGACGTTGGACCAATTCGACGTGCCGTCGTGGCCCGTGGCACTGATTCTGGGCGTCGACTGGATCATGGACATGTTGCGGACGTTCACAAACGTGCTGGGTAATTGCCTCGCGTCGGTCGTGATGGCCAAGATGGAGAACGAGTTTCGCACGGAAGAGTGGGTGCGGGAATACCGCGAGTCGAGGAACAGCGACGATAAGCTGCTGATGATGATGGACGAGAAGATCAGCCATGCGTCAATGGTGTCGGTTATTCACGACGCTAGTTGCTGTTGAACGGCCGAGGACGACAAAAAGTTGGACACGGGGCAGGTTGACGACGGGGTGTGTGTCTCTATGGTCTATATCAAGGAACTACTGAAGACGTGCTGCGTGAAAAGAATGGATACACTTATAGTGCGTGCTGTAACAAGCGGTTGGGAGGTGGAGGTTAGTAGGTAAGTAGACTCCTGACGATGTCTGGATGGAGACGGGATACTTTTTATTAATAAGCTTTGTGTTGAAAATGGAGCGAAAGCACGTCCAGAGGAGAATGATCGGGCGATTTTGAATGATAGTGGCAGCGGAAGACGGCTGACTACACACTGCGGCGCTGGTCGACATGAATAGATCCGAGTTGACATGCTGGTTTTTGGTGTAAGGGTAGCGATTTCTGTTTCAATGACTGTAGCGCTCCACTTGTAGTCAAAACAATCGCTTGTAATTATAATTTGGACGGCTTCGTGTGTGTTGGTCTTAGTGTTGCAGTAGAAAAAGGCTAGCGACATGCAACTGGGTCTTGATGTGACTTGAGAAATCGATCCGGCTCTAGCGTTATCTTCGGTACAGTGCTACCGCTTGACAAGATGACGCCGATGAGGACAGGACTAGTTCCAGCAAATATAAGTTGCGTCGAATGCTCAGAGTTTCTTCGATGACCAGGTACTGTCTTTATGTTTGGCGGAATTAGTAAACGACATCGGGGGAATTAAAAAGCATCTGCAGTGTCGACTACGCAACAGCGATCAAGGGGTATCATTAAGTGCAGCGACAGCACCAATGCAACATACCGACTTGTCGACTGTGAATGTGTACATGAAGGGCAATTTGCGTCGCACAAGTTTCAGCTTCAACGAAAGCGACAAGTAACAACCGATATGCCCACTTCCCCTTGAGCGAGTGTCCTTACATAGTTAGTTGTATCAGAATCCTCATTGACTGTACAGGGCACAAGAACTGTTAAAGCACATAGTACGCGTGAACCGAAGGAGAGGGTACCGAATGAAAGAAGCGCATACAACTGTCGTTCTTGAGCCTTTTAGCTTGAGACAGTGTCTTACTGCCTGAGAGAATTTCGCAAATGCTACGGCTTTCATTGAATGGACGCGAATTTGCTTCAGTCGGGACTCGCCGATGCTTATACCTGGCGGAGGAAGGACTCGGATGTGTATGCCATTGACGGCGGTAAAGTGGCATGATCATGTTGAGATCGAACGAAAGAGCATGTACTGAAGCTGTCGCTTGTCATGAGATACTGCGACCGCGTCCACAGAGATGACAAGACTTGGCTACCAAATATGCAGCGACATGGGCCAGACAAAGATGTAGCTGGACATCTGCATCTTTGTCTGGCCCATGCCGCGGCGATGCTATTGTCCACCACGTAATGGTCTTATCACACGCACAGAGCGTACCACGATCGTCAATAGCAGCATAACGACAGTGGCAGTGTCTGAGCTATCCCACCTCATTCACAGAATGGTGCGATTGCGGCAGCTGGTGCCCATAAAGTCGCACGTGTGGCTAGTGCGTCCATCCTTACAACCATTGCATACGTGTACAAACTAGACGCAACTTTTTCGTGGCTTTAACGGCTCGACTTAACCAACCGCCACGAGCTCGCGGTACCATTCACGATCTCGTCGTTCTTGTTGCGTGATGGTAAGTCCAAAGACCTGGACGCCATTATCATAACAAGCGCACCAAAACATAACTTGGTAGTAGAAATCAACAAGTACATCCACGGCGCAAATCAGACCGCGACAAGTACGCAATGCACTCCGTTCGTTTATCGCCATGTACACACACACACACACACACACACACACACACACAACACACTGCATCGTCGTTCTCGACGTTTGTCCTGTCAAGCCGAAGCGAAGTAATGACGGACTATATACCTATACGACAAAGCAAAAGCTCACAGCCAAAGGAAAAACAACAACTAAACGCATTTGTTGCATCATAATGCAGTCAATACGAACCCATCTTTTGCCGCCAAGCAGAATTAAAAAGATCATTTTATATAGACTTTACATAGAAAGCGATAATCTGTCTCGAGCGAGTAGCGTCGTTGTCGTCATCGTACTTAGACGGAGTCCCACTGTCCACTGTCGACAAAACACGCAGCAGTTCAACTCCATCGCGGCCTGGCGACGTCTCTCGTCGTCGTTGTCATCGCCTCGACGGCCCCTCACCACTTTTCGACGCGCGCAGTGACTCGTATCGTATACTCCGCGCTCTTGTGCATCGATTGAGGTCCTTTTTGTGTCTTGCGTCCGTCTACTATCTCGGCAACACATATGAACGCGAAAGCTCCACTCTCCTTGGACACTGTCATCCAGTTGGCCTTTTGTCTCGAAGGTCGTGACAAGCTTACGAAGGTCCAACTGCCTATGCAATCGATTGGTCTGCATAGTATATGGTCGTAGCTTCCTAACGAGCTATTTGTTGTCTCTTGGGTGTGCTCAGGTGCTGCAATATGGCAGTCGAGCGCTGGCGTTCTATGTGCTGTCAGCCGACCCCAAGAGCGACGTCGGACAGCGTCTTCATGCTCTGTATAAGGTCATGCAGCAGTCTCGAAAGGCGTTTCGACTGGGCAAAAGCATCACGTACTACAAGAAGCTGCAGACACTGTCGAAGAACAAGAGTCTGTCGGAAGGAGAGAAGTACATGCAGATGATTCAGAACGTGGGCATGCTCGGCTACTTTATCACGGACAATGTGGCTTTTGCGAGCAAAGCAAAGGTCCTGCACTTTGATGCTGACGAGCTGTCGCGTCGAGGAGGCATTCTTTGGTTCTGTGCCAATATGGCTGGCTTCTTTCAGGCCGTGGACAAGCTGAATGCTGACGTGGAAAAAGAAAAGTGTGTGAGGGACATCTTGGCGTCGGAAGACGATGTTGCGCGTGTCGAGGTGCTGCAGACGCAACTTGATGAGCTACGAAACGGTCGTGTCAAGAAGCTACTCGCAGTGCTCAAGGTGACGTGCGACCTCATCGTGTCGTCCAACACGGCAGGAGTGCGACTGTCGGAGCGGATCACTGGCGCCAAGCTGAATGACGGAATCATCGGCTCACTTGGCGTCGTGTCAGCAGCAGTTGTGCTGTATAACACGTGGCCGAGTGCGCCGAAAAGCGGCCTTGAGTCAAGTGAGAAGACGGAGACCAAGATGGAAACGAAGACTGAAGGCACGAATAGAGTGAAAGACGGGACGCAGAGTGAGACGAACTAGTTTTACAGCTAGAAGACATTGGCTCTTTGGCGTCATGCCACGACTGCATTGGCATGCCAAGGTAGTGCCTACCCTTCCTTCTGATCCTCGAATAACACAACGAAGTCTCTGTTGACTGCAAGAAAAGTGGCGACTAAATGGTATCCCAAGGACTTGCATTGTGCATTGTAGGACTAATGACTGCATTGTGCACAAGGAAGACGAGAGCGCGACGATCATTTCTACGTGAGTCAATGTAAAATGCCAATGACGGTATCAATCGCTAAAGCGAGCAAAAGTCAAGCAATCAATGGTGAAGGCAAGTGGTGCCACGACAATTGCTGTGCTTTTTCACATTGCAGTGAGCCGATCGTCGGTGAAAGCTCCGGCCAAAGCTTACCAGCACAATAGTTGACTCACTGTTGCGTGTACGCGCCTAATGTTGCCCGTTTCCTCGACAAGAGATTGAGTCTCTTCTAGTACAAGTTTCTACTGCCACGTGGCCGCACTGTTGTGGTCAACGGCATTCAATAAGCGCAAAGTTCACGAAAGACGCGTCCGACCCCTTGTGGTCCATAACTGCATTGGCAAACATCCTGCAAGAACATGCGGTCTAATGATTGCGCGCGTATGTATAAAGGTACGTCGACACGAAAGAGCACACATGAACTTGGCAAAAAACATGTTATGACACGCTCGCGGCTGTGAGGTACATCAGTCGTAGCAATTGCGACACGTTTTGCATCCAAAGTCGAAGCTGTACCTCCCCAATGCCAGACTCAAGAATACGGGTGGGTACATTTGCTTCCAAACATTGGACCCTTCTTGGCTACAGAACGATAGCTACTACTAGTGTTACACAAGTACAAAAGCCACAGTCACTCCACTAGCTGCAACGCTATTCGTGGCATTCTCATCGATTCGTTGTTGCTAGTGCAGCTTGAAAGACTGGAAAGCTCTGGGTCATGTCGCCAAGCATCACGCGTGTCGCTTGCTAGGCATTTCATACAAAGCACGTTGCGTTTCGGTTCCAAGAATGGTAAATGCTACCATTTGTTTGGTCAACTGCGTTTACAGGCCTTGCTTGGGCAGATGTTCACTGATGCCGTTGACAAGTGTAGAGGAGAACCAGACGACGTCGTGTATTGACGAGCGTGTTGAGCAGTGCATCCGTCGCTATGTCTTGTTTGATGCACGCAAAGCCAGGTTGCACACAACTCGCAACGCAAAGTAATCAAGTTGGACAGCATACTGCTGCGAAGAGGGATTCGTCAGGAAGATTCCACGCAAACACTCGATCGACTCTGTCGTGCAGACACATGCGGCAGCGCATGGTGTCGTTACTACTCTACACAAGCTGCGACGCAAACAAATCTTCGTAGAAGCACGCAACACGACAACTGCTGTCGACGTTATCTGTACAAGGAGCAACTCCAGCACATCTCGACTTATTGTGCTGCTCGCTCGAGTCCCGCGTTCAGTTGTCCATAGACAAACGTCCATGTACGAACCTCACCCCTTTCCCCGCTTTCCAACGCAGTCGCTCATGCGATAGAAATACCAGGGCAACCCTCCATCGCGATCGCCCCATGACGCTTTCCACTCGGGAACGCGAAACTGTACACACAAACACCAAAGCATCAGCCCCGATCGAAAACGAGAATACAAGAGCACACATGACGCGCCCTCGCGTCCCCTTCCTGCACGCATGCAACACGGCCAACTCACCCCGATCGACAGCACGTTGGCCTCTTCTGTCAGCTGTTCAATCAGCTGCGACACAACCGTCGCCACAGAGTCGGCAAACGCGTAGACAATGACCAACGTGGCGTTCGAGACGTCGGCCTCGAGCACATCTCCGAGCTCCACCCGCACGCGGCCTTGCAATCGCTGCTGCGCCACGTGCTCCTTTGCTCGTTGCACCAGTTTCAGATCCAGTTCGATGCCCAATGCAGAACAGCCAAACCGCTGAGCTCCTGATATCAGCCACCGCCCATCGCCACAGCCCAAGTCCACGAGCAGATCGTCGGCACTCAACGCCACTTGAAGCGCCGCTAATTTCGTCCAGACGGCGTCAATCGTTGCATGCGGCGACGGACTGTACGGAGCAAACAACGGCTTTGCATCTCCGTCGCGCGTTGCCAGCGTCAGCGCATCGCTTGCCCGCGCTCTGGCAGCTTCAAGCACGAGTTGACGCACGCAGCGTCGACGCCGACATGTAGCCATGAGCTCGAAACCACTGGTCAGGACAAATCGCCAGTGCGATACGGTGATTGGTGGATAATCGATCGAACGAGAGCGGATTGGCTGAAATACGGCGTCCCGACCATCCGTGGGCTCATTGACAAGGATGCCGGCGGTGAAGGACGTCGCGCGCGTTGAGCGACCGACGGGCCACGACAGCGACAGCGATGAGGCGCCAGACGTCGTGACGAATCAGAATGCAATGGAGACGATGTTCACGCAGCGTCGGGAGGAGACAGCGGCGCGTGAACATGCGAAAAGTGCGACGAAGAGGTAGGCGACTGACGAACGGTGTCATTGATCTTTATACATATTCGGTATTGTAATTTATGATAGTAAAAAATAAAAAGGGACTGGTAGCACATGCGTAAACCGAATTTTTCTGTTGGTGATGCAATGAGTGATGAGAGAGAGGTCTATTGTGCGGAAGTACTGACTTCTGGTGGTGGTGGTGGTGGTGGTGGTGGTGGTCGTGGTGGTATGTTACAGGAAGCGGAAGAGCAGACAGGAGACTGAAGTGCCGGAACTCCCGGATGATGTGCTGCTGGCTGTTGCGGCTCGGAACGCAGAGGAGGAAGGAACGGACGGGGAGAAGCGAGAGACGATGGAGAAGGAGGAGAAGGAAGCTGGCAGGACGAAGCGTCGTGAGCGCACGAAGAGAGGCAACGTGGCCAAGCTGGTGATGCAGGCACAGAAGACGCACACGCGACAGTTTGGCAACATTTACGTGCAGAAACTCGAGACGCTCGAGACGACGCAGACAAGAGAGGTGTCTGACAGTGCTCGAGAGTTTCTCAAGCTGCGGACAGCGCCGATGCGACAGCGGATGAATGTCTTGGAAGGCCATTCGTCGCTGTTTACCAAGAAGCAGAAGTACCACAGTCAACAGCTGTAGCGAAACGTGGACACCGTGCTGGCGATACTTTGGAGTGGCAGTCGTTTGTTGCCAGAACTTGGCGCTGGTGCTGTGACGGCGACGAAGGCTGCGCGACGTAGCTGTGCGATGTTGTGATACGAAACATGATTGATATGCAGCATGCAGATGGCAAGTGCAGCGACGAGGCGGGCATGTCTTGGAGCGACTGCAGCTGCAGATGTCACGTGTTGGTAGTAGGTTGGTCATCTGGCGAGAGGAGGTCCAGGAAACCACTCTCACTCACGCTCGACCGTGATGCTGCTGGGCGTCTGTTACGCTTGTGCTTGGAATCGCAGTAGAAGGCAGATAGTACGACTAGTGTTGCCGGATGAAGTGGTGCTAGAGCCCGACAAGGCAGAATTGCCCGGTACGTTTTGTAGTGCTGCTGCTGGTCATACCGTTGGCTTTGCACGCTACACACACGGGGTAGCTACCAATGGTATCCACTTTGCATCAATCCATCAGCTTATCCGCGCATGCTGTGCCAGCCAATTCCCACGTGCCAGCCGTCAACCACTTCTTTTTGACGGTGTTATCTGTGGTCGTGCATGTAATTGCAGTGACCGAACGACTCACTTCTCTCCAGTGTCTTCCATGATGATGGAAAGAGATGGCAGGGAAGGAGACCGATGGTACTAGGAGAGATAGTCAGCTTTCTGTAGCTGTTCAAGATACGACGTACTAGGAACTCGATACCTCTTCTGTACAAAGTCGTCAAGTACACACACATACACATACGAACCCAATTGCCAGTAGCGACTCCTTCTTGCGACAAATGACGAGATACGTTTATTAAATGAACGCACATCCACTGCTGTCCCTCTGCACCGATCTGCCAGCCACGTTGTCTTCCAGCAGCAGCAGCAGTAGTAGTTTCACGCAGCCTTCCACCGCACTGTTTGCAGCTACTTCGACTGCACCCTCGTGCCCTTTTCGACAAAGTCCTGATCCTCTGCAAACTCTTTCGTCAAGCGCTTCGGGACTCTGTCCACGGCCTCCCGCAAGAAGCCGTTCATGTTGCGAGCGAGGAGCAGGTCTTCGGCAATGAAACTGCCGAGGCGGAGCGCAGGGATCGGGTTCAGGTTATGGGTTTGGGTGGAAACAGCGCTGAGATGGACCCCCCTCGTCTCGGAATCGGTCTGCGCGGCTGCCGAGCGTTTGAGGTGCCCCCGCACCGCTTTGACAGTCTCTTGGTCATTGCTGTCCATGTCGTCGATGGCAAGAGCTCTCGTCGGGTTTTGCTCGGACGCTTCTTCGGTTGCAGGTACCGCATCGCAGATAGCAGCGACGAGAGTCGCTATGACAATGAGGAGGTGTAGCCGCATGACTGTTCTTCCTCGGACGCCCTCGTGTCGGTTCCTTCGAATTGACAAGTGCCAGTGAACGTAATGAGCTGCTCGGGTCGTACTCGTGCTGTGTCCAACCTGCGTTCTTGAAACCGTTCGTGATCCCAGTCAGCGCCGCCGTCGGGTCTCGCGGGTCAGCTCAGCCCTTTGGAAGGTTTACTGCGCACGAGACGGACCGTCCGTCGTCGCACCTGCAGCTGAGAGTTTCTGCGGGAGATCGGGATGGTCTGGTCGAAGAGGATCCAATGGACAATAGCGTAAACACCGCTTCGGCACGTGGAGCTGGGCGGCAGACACTGCCGCAAACGGATCAGCGCGAACACCTGCCATCTGATTATGGCTGCCCCTTGTACGCAAAGTAGCGCACGAACGCACGTTGCCTCGCAACCCCATCGGTCCATGCGCTAACATGAGGTCGTGTCAACTAATTGCTTCCGACGCCTTGGAAGCTGATGCACGAACGAAAGGACTCTCATGACCGACAGGTTGGCCAGCTGCTAGCATTGCTTGCTTGCTATGAGGCGAACACGCTACGCAAGCGCGCTGGTCCCGCATATGTATAAAGGCGTGAAAGGCCAAGTCGCGTCCTTTGCGCTACTACGAGAACACGACTGAGGGTATATCACTCGCTTCCACATGTACTCTCCATCGCTTCAGAGTTAGGAGTTAGGAGTTAGGACGGCAAGGAACTTACTTGTTCCTGACCGAGTTGTAGCTTTGCAAGACGTATCCGACGCTGTGGCTGGTCGGACTACGAGATCAAACCGCTTTTCCACAGCCGGTAAAGACTCGACGTCAACGGATCCCAAATTCGGATAACTGAACATCTCGTTGAAGCTGATGGCGAGAAACGTTCTCACGCTCGTGCAAAGCAGTAGCACCGCATGATTCGCATTCGTAGCGTAGGGATACCACCGATCGATCGTAATGGTCGCATCAAGCAGATCAGCAAAGACACGAGAGAGAGAGAGAGAGAGAGAGAGGTCGGGGTACGCTATGCCTGGAGCAGGTCCCGTCCAGCGATCCAAGAAACACACACAAGGCACATCTAGAGCAACGACAATGTCGTAGGGTATACTTCCTTCTGACAGTACGCGCGTAGTGTCTAGTCGAGAGGGTAGCAAGTAGTCATCGAGCAACGCGCGAAAGACTGCAACGAATGTGTACGAGCCAAGCGGCTGGTCTTGAGGGCCTCAGCTAGTGAGCAGAGGCAATGATCTGACCGAACGCGAGGACAACCTGCATAGCTGCTGGGACGTTCTGTCGCACCACGCGTCGAATCGAGCAACCACGTTGCAATGGCACGGACTGGAAAGGTGGACGTTGGGCCTTCTTCGCTCGCTTTGGCACGCGGGCGCGCATTCGCCGTCGTGGCACGTTCCCAGTGCGACCTGTGTCGCCATGGTCGGAACAACCGGGTGGTGGCATTGCGGCTGCGATGGCCACCAGCCACTGTTGCCGCTCTTGCGCGCTGGAGGCCCGCAGGATCAGGTGTTTGCTGCTTGGTCCGTACTGGAGACGAAGGACGTGACGGTCCGTGTCTTTCATGCCGTTCTCTCGAATGAGTTTGACGGTCGCGTCGAGCGCGAGGATCAACGTGCCCCCTGCAATGCGTGGACGCTGGATCACTAGATTGAAAGCCGTCGAGTCCTTCGTGGCTGCGATGTTCGGCTGGGCGGCACCCAAGAGGTAGACGGTGCTTGGGAACCTGTCATGCCAAAGCAAGCGACGACCCGGGAAAAGAGAAGTGGGGGGTGAGTGGACAACGCAGGCAATGGCCGATCATGGAGACGAGAGACGTACCACAACAAGTTGCACGATTGGACAAGGAGCTTACCACACGTCATGGTGGAAGGGTGTGTGGATGCGTGTGGGAGGAGGTCAATGGCTCGAGTGAGGGCGAAGGAGAATTCGGGAATGGTGGACACGCAGTCGGCCGTTGACGAGCGAGACTTTGCCCACGGGGCGGGGCAGGGAGATCCAGTAGTCGCGACGAGCAAGTAAGTAGCAGTCAAGTGTTGTCGGCACAGGACATGGACGTAAGGGCAGTCTCGACATTCGTGCATGGACTTGAGGTCTCTGGTTGCAGCACGGCATGGCACTTGCCCCACAAGAACGAGTGGTATACCTCCAATGGCTTCAAACGTGCCTCCTCCACCCACGTGCATCAGTAACACACCTGTGCGCATCGCCACGAAGTGAGTTGGGACGAGCGACCACGAGAGACGGCACTTGCTACGGCCGTTTTCGCCTCGATCTGAACCGATTACACGTTGAAGCCGCACGTGGTCCCATGAACCATTTCCAGAGCCTGTTACGTCAACTGGTGGACCATTGATACGGGCGACTAGCAGCTGTGCTACCCGCAAGTGTGGTACGGGTCGCTACCCATATGGTCCACAGGAACATTCCAGTTGCACGTATGGCGACGAATAAGGCGCGACGACAGATGGTCAGGTGGCTCACTGCAACTGTCTTGTGAATTATACTCTGTGCGTATGTGCAGTAACCCTATCGTGGGCTGTCATCCAATGTACTAGTGGAGACTTTGAGCTGGAAAGTAAGTAGCACCACTCTGGACTAAGACTCTTGTGGTATCCAAGACATCAACTAGAGAGGACTTTGAGTACGCAACGTCTCTATTGCAGCAACGGTTGAGAGATGCGCTGGTTGGGTACAGTTGAAGTGGATCGTGGATACAAAGACACGGCCAGAAGATCCGATCCGAACAAGGACTGCTGCTGCTGCTGTTTGTTGCCGTCCAGCGCGTGCACTTATATTCTCCACATGCAAACAACGCAAACACAGACGTCCACGACGAGACGAACAAGTGGTGCTGATGATGGTGCCTCCTGGACAATCCACTCAGGCACGCATGTTAAATACCGTTTTCGTCCAGCCGTCTTGGTTCGGCACGAGCTCGAGCACCGAGTGGAAGGGGATCTCCAGGTCCGGACAGCTCTCAATCGGTGCGCCCAAAAAGTACGAGTACAGCACTTGCAACGTCGAAATGTGCGAGACCACGAGCACAGGGCCCGTGTGCTGCTCAATGTCAATGAGCACGGGCTCGAGACGCAGCATGAGATCCCGGTACGACTCGCCGCCGGGAAAGCGCGTGCGCCACGGATCCTTCTCGTACGAAGCATATGCCTCGGGCATGAGCTCCTTCATCTGGGTCATGGTCATGCCGTAGCATTCGCCCTTGTCGAGCGGATTCAACGTGGCCATTTGCACTGCACCAGACGACAACACAAGGGCACAAGTCAGCAAAGAAAAGCAAAGACGTGGCACTGCGACCCCCACATCCAAACAAACGTGTCCACCTACTTCGCTGGCCGCTCGACAGATAGTTGGCCGTCTGCACAGCTCGTGGCAGCGTTGACGTCATGACGAGACACTCGGTCGGGGCATCTTTTGGCGTAAAGTCTTCGTTTGCAATCCACACTGCGGTCCGCTGCTTGACGAACACGCCGAGACGGTAGGCAAAGTCGAGGCCCAGTGGACTCAAGTGCGCCGATCGAGGCGCGACGCACGGGTCTTTGATGATCGCACGAAAGTCTTTCCGCACTTCAATGCAATGCCCCGCACGCACGAGCCAGATCGGGCGGTGTTCCAAGTGGAAGCTCATCATGTACGGCAAAATCGACTTGGCCACGTGACCATAAATACCTTTGGCATGCACTTTCGACTGCATGTCGAACAACTTGATATAGCTGCACTCTTCCTCGTCCTCGAGCGCTTCGTACGCTGCTTCATAGTTCTTCAGCCGCTGTTTCAAATCCGCTACGGCCTCGTCTTCCGGCATGCAGCAGTAGTCGGGACTGCTCGTGACTTTCTGCTTGATGTTCGCCCGAATCACAGCTTCGCTCGTGCAAATGCTCTCGACAAACACAACGTGGACACTCGTCTCGTGCCGCTCGGCAAACGCGCGGAACGTCTCGCGCAGCACACGTCGCCTCGCTTTGGTCGTGTTTGTTGCATCAAACACCGCCACGTCCCCACCCCGCCCGCCTTCTCCTCCTCCTTGTTCGTCTTCTTCTTCTCCTCCTTCTTCTCCAGCGAGCCACTGCTGCACCTGCACGAGCGACTCTCTCGCCAATCGCTCGCGCTCTTGTGTCGCCCGTGTGTTTGTCATGTCAAAGAACGAATGGTCCTGACGCTCCCCGTCACTGGTCGCCCGGCGGAGCTGCCCGACATTGAACACGCGGCACTTGAGGCCCTTCCAGCAAAAGAACTTCCAGAGCTTCTTGGCAATAAATGACTTGCCACGGGCCGGCAGACCGACCATCACGAGCACGAGCTTATCGGCCGTGGGCGTGAAGCGCTGGCGCTCGGAAAACAGCGGACAGTTCGTCTCGCGCGACATGCGACGGGTCAGTGGCGCATTGAGCGCCGGTACAGTGAACGTGACGGTCTTGTAGTCCATGGAGTCGCGATCGCCCGGACTGGTCGAGGGGTAGAGGGCGTCGCCTTGCGATTGCGCAGCATCTAGCGCACGTGCGGCGGTCAGAGACGCACGGGGAGATGCGCGAGACGACGCGGGAGCAGATAGGGGGGGTGGGGGCGAAGGTCCGGGCGTCTGGCGTGGCGAGGCGGCGGCAGGAGGCGTCGATCGCCGCCCCGCTGCGTGGACCATTGGAATTTGTAAACGGGTGGAGCCGACGGAAGGGGGTCATAAGTTGACAGCGCACTGGGCGGATGTAAGTGGACGGGCGGAATTGCACGATCGATTGAGTAGCGCGTGTGCGTGGAAAGAAAGCCGGTAGGAAGAGCAGAGAAGACGAGCGAAAAAAGGAAAGAGGGCGGGCGGGGCTGTGGGCGAAAAAACCTCGAGAGCGAGTCAGCCATGATGGTGACAACGATGTGGGCGCATGGAAACTGTCTGCTGCTACTTACGAACATCGAGACGTACGACGATGTCCGCGATAACGAAGTTGCTTTACTGTATTTTGTAGTAGGTGAACGAACGTATGTTGAAAAGACAGTCCTTCGTCACTGTGCTGACCCTACAAACGCTTTTGGTGATACAGTAAACAGTTACTAACGATCCGCTGTTACATGAACCAAATCGATCCAAAGTATGTTTCGAGACTTGAGGGCGATCAGAAGGCGTGCACACCTCTACCAACGTAGCTGACGTATCACGTCGACAAGACTCGAGTAAATGAACGGCCAGTGACACTCGTGGTGAAGGAGATAGTTGACTCTGTACGGCACCGGGGCAGTCACGTGGTCAAGCAGCGGATTAAGCCATTAGGTCAGGAAAAGCAAAATCGACGCAGCCGAATTGCAATCGTTCATCCCGTGTCGACAGCCACAAGACACTCGCACAGCTCAAAGGTTTACATTTGCTGGGAGATTTGTGATGCCGCTCATACGCTGCAGAAGAATCGCACGATGTATGTACGCATCGGGTGAGCAAAGTCGCTGTAATATCTCCACAGTGTACAAACCTGTATGTTTGAAAGTGTATCCGTTGTATTTATGGCTCAACGAGGTGTGCAAGGTTTAGTACTGTCCTTAGCAATAGAAACAGCGCTTATGTATGAGCGAGCAAAGCTGTAACGAATCGCGCGTATAAGGATTCTCGTCTACGGATTCCGCGTTTATGTGTATACTGAGAACGTCTGTATAAAGAGGCGACAAGATCACAGCACATGCAATCGAAGCCTCCAACGTGTGTTGGCCGTAGCTCTCGACTGACGCTTACACATCGAAAGTTTGAATGTCAACAGATACATACGACTTCTGAGCAAACACGTCAGACAACGTGCCTATGTCCTAACATGCCACTATCACGATGACGACAACATCGTAATAGTGGCATGCCAGAACATAACTTGAAACGATTTCTGCCCTGAGGCTCGAGCAACTCTATCTTCGGCTCTGTCCAGTGGCAAAGTACATACCAAACATAAGCCACATCATGGCCAAAGAGTCCTTGTGGGGTACAAACTTTCCGTCGCGTCGATTCGAGACGCACATAAGACGCCAAACAAACTGTGCATCACCGCCAGCTCAGTGACAGCACTTGGCGTGGAATGAATGTGCCCCAGCAGTTCGACAGCATTGGCACAAATAGTGTTTCGGACCACAAGCCACACGTCTATACAGCGTGTGCAGTGGTCGTTCATGTGTCCAGAAAGGTCGTCGAGCAAGCAATCGAGACAACTGCAGCTGTAGCTGCTGTTTGGCATTATAAACTCGCACGGACGAAGCCGTCCAGTGTACCATGCTACTACCTCAATGGTCACAGCAATCATGTCCCCACGGACGCTCTTGACCGCCTACAACACGAGGGCGAGCCATCCTGCGACCATTGCGACGCCACCGACAGGCTACACCGATACATAACATCAATACGATCAGTCGACTGCAACCTGCAGCGTCGATGTCGTTGGCCAGCACCTACCGTGACCATGCCCAGTCTCTTGTCCCCCGTGAGCACCATCACATAGATGGACCCGGAGAACAGCATCGTGCCCGTGGCAATGAGCCGTCCCGCCAGTTTCGGCCGTCGACACAGTGGCGTAGCGAGCAACACTGCCGAGTGGATCAGCTGCCACGTACATCCAGAGACATTGATAGGATCTTCTAAAGTCGAACGATTAGCACAACAGATCACTGGATTGCAGCTCTGACCTGATAATAAGCTGCAGTCGACCAGCTCTTGAGCAGTTCCGGGTCCTTGACGTGGGTTTTCAGCGCATGAGCGCCGAAAGCACCTGCGTAGGATCACGTTTAGCACACGTCGCAGAAAACAGCATAAGCTTGACCAGCCGATGGAAAGGTCCAGCACCTTGAGCGAGACACTACATAGCGCTGTACGATCACTGACGTACCGAGCATGACGCCACTGGCACCTGTCATGGCACCGACTTTCCACCAGATCGACCGGGCGGGTGAGATCACAGCTGCCTTCATCATTAGGTGAACGGGAAGATGGAAATGCTCGCAAAGGGTTTGTCAGATTTACGTCTGACCAGTCGGTGTACGAAATGGCGACACGATTATGGGACGATGGTCTCAAGAACTGGAAAAGAGCTTCAACAGATGACGTCCAGAGACTGCTACTCACCTAACGGCTCGATGTTATCCTGCGTTTGTCCCATCATTTGAAGCACTTACACAGCTTTATCTGACTTACCACTCACTACGCACTTCAGATTCTCCCATTTGACTCATCTGTTGCAGCAGTTATAGATGCAGGTTGGCTAGGACAAAAAACACGACGTTAGCTAGTACAAGGACACGACCGTCGTGTTCAATGCATTCTGCTCGCCTGATCTGCTGTACTGCTGGCCAATAAAGTTACCAGCTACATGCTGAGACATTTCTGCGCATGACGCACTGAGTAATATCGCGAAATGCAGCAGCTGCGGGTTCTGCAACTATGACGTAAGAACATGTGAGTACGTTGTTAGCACCTTGTGGCTCCACACCTCACGAAACAGAGAGCGCTTGCAGAGAAACGGCAGCTGATGTGCGACTCACATTGACGACGTCAAAACCTGATACGCACCTCGAGACGAACGGTGTCAAAGGTCGTCGGCTCAATCGCGACGATCAAGTTCCAGAAAGATCAGTAGGGATCAACGAAGCTGGTGGGCCTTTCAACAACCGCGATCACGCGGATGGCGGGCAGTACTCTTCTTCGATCACATCGCGCACTCCTCGTTCTGAAACTGAGCAGCCGACAGCGTTCGTTACGCGTCACAACACTGTTTGCAACCAGTGGTCACACGTCAACGTACTGTCAAACAGCGCTGAGCCATGTGCCAGAGCTGGCGACTTGACGAGGCGAGCGACGCGGCAATTCGACTGCAAGCGTCAAGATGAGAATCACGGGCAGGTACACCAAGTGCAGGTCAGACCAGTGCGCACCTCCCACTCGAAAACAACTCGGTTCGAGATCGAATGTACCCAGCCTTCGCCTTGAGCAGAACACGACAAGTTCATCAGCCATCTTGGCGACTGTACGCACAAGCAAACCAGACATACCTAACGCTGGCCGTAGTTGCGATCCACGGCTTTCATTAGAGGACGATTTCGTGGTGATGTGGTTGATGAGCACAACCTGTCGGAATCCGTCAGTGACTCATCAGTACACATACTCAGTGCAAAGACAACACTGACCGCCAAATCGAAGTCAGCTGCAAGTCCGTGCAAAAAGATAGCAAGATCGTCCAATGCCCGAGCTCTCTGGGTGAAGTCTTCGAAGCCGTGGCGGAAATGGAAAGAGACAGTATCGATCACTAGCAGCTTGCACTAAGAGTACAGATGTAAGCCAGTGCTGCTACACTGCTTGCATGTCGAACAGCTTACCTCGGCTGTCCCTTGCAAATACGCCGACAACGAGTGAAGAACTTCGATCAGCTCCAAGTAATCGTGCACACGGTAGTACGTGATTCCTCGCAGCAAATCGTCCCGTGTCTGCAGCAATCGCCGGCCGATCCAACAAAACAATCACGCCGTCATGTCGTTGTCGAAACTGCGGGTCTATTGACCAGCGTACCCGCTTTTGCATCTCCAGTTGACGGAAATCCTGCAAGAAGCACTCAGCCATCGATGCTACACGTTCAATGATGAAGCTTCCCTCGCTATCTAGAATGATACCGTCAGGACGAGCAATAGACCAAACACAGCTTCGTCAGGATGTGCGTACCAACATATACAGCGGATGCGACTTTCCCAGGTTCCGTTGCTACATACTGCGCGGCCAAGCAGGCATGGATACTGTTGACAATGCAAACGATCAGCGGCAAGCACAGGACTACGGGAGCAATCCAGTGCATCCATGACCTACCCAAATTGCGTCTTTCCCGTGCCAGGACCACCACCTTTCATCGTGCACAAAGAAGAATGCAGACACTCAGCGTCAAAAGCACAGTATCGTGCAAGCATCCACAGCATCAAGCGTACAAAACTCTGTGACTTCGCCCCGCTGCAAGCCGCCACCCAGCAGTCCATCTAGGCCCATCAGCCTCGTCGAAATAGGTTGGACCTTCGTCACTTCCTGACTCCATCCAGCCTCAGATCAGCTAGTGCCGTCACAACAACCGACACCAATGCGAAGCACGCGCTCAGGCTGAGCTTGTCATCAACCGTCACCTGCAGTACTTCCAGCGCCGTCTTTCCCACCACAGTTGCCGAAGCTTCTTCCTTCCGGGCAACTGCTAGCACCCTCACCGCATCGCTGACACTGATCTGCGCCTCTGCAAACCACACGTCCATCAACACACCAGCCCCACCACAACACAACGCTCCATCATCAGATCGATGTACTACACACTCCCACACAATAAACAAGATCAAACCACAAGACACAACCCACCGCTCGCTAATGCACGCGCTTGGACGTCGACCAGATCCGTCTGATACCGAAACCCTGCGCGCAGGAGCGCTGCTGCAGAAGACCGCACGACCAAATGCATACCGTTACACACCACACACACTCATAGAGCAAGTCACGACACGTAGCAACGCATGCACTGCGTTATTGTACCCAAAACAGACGGCGCGAGGCCGCACGCTGCAAGAGGTACTGCTGCCATGCGAAGCGTATCGCAATGGCGACCTGTCACTGTTTCTGATTGGCTGAAATCGTCTTTTTCACGTAAGTACGAGTCGAGGACCTCGCCGGTGGGTTTGGACCAGTGTCTCGGTTCGCGTACCCCTACATCAGCTCCTGTGGGCTGTCGTCTATTGTCTGCGCCAGCGATCGCTACACTTGACCATGGCCGCCCTCCGCCAGAGCTTCCAGGCAATGCGATTGGTCGCCGCTCGTCGCGTCGTTGCGTCGCGAGGCTTTAGCGCGGTGCCCCATGCTGCCGACAAGTTTGTAGTGGTGCGTGCCGTTGTTGTGTAGCCATTTGGAGACGTTTCTAACCGCGATAGAAACGTGTCAACTTAAGTGAGGACCCACGCGCTGGATGTGCATGGCTCCTGCTGTCGTGTCTAATGGGTGATCGTGAGTAGGACTTCCCCGAGGAGCACGAGGGACTGAACATTGAGTTCAACTGGTCGCTCGCCGATGACGACGTGACGCCACATGGCGACGCGTTCCGCAACCTCAGCTGGCCGAAGCTCGAGGCACTGGCGAAGCAAGAGACGCCAGGTACGGCAAGCAGTAGCACGAGGTTGACGAACTGTCGAACGGATATTCCTGCCGCAGTGTGTGTCGCGGTAGAAACGTTTCTAACATGGTCGTCGCTGGGTGCTGCAGGCGACAAGAAGGTGACGATCAAGGAGGTGGACGTGAACCTTGTGTTCAACGACTTTGAAGGCCTGTACGAGCAAGTGACGGAGCACTTGTCGACCGAGCCGAACTTGTACACCCAGGACGGGGCCGCCGGCTCGTTCAAGGACGACCGCACACGTGTGCGCGTGATCTCAGACTCGCCATTGGTGGCGCTCTTTGCTCAGAGTTTGCTCGTGCGTGTGCCTACGAAGGACCCACACGCTCGTCGCCCGATCGTGGTCTATGTCGCCACTGGAGGCGAGTACAAGGGCAAAGAGCCAGAGGCGCAGCTACTGCTGGACAACACGGACGAGGGCCTGCCGTTTGTCAAGGTCGTCATCACTGGCGCGGCTGATCTCGCGACCGTCAAGGACGCTATTGGCTTGGCCAAGAAGAAGCTGCTGGAAGTAGCGGAGTCCGCGTCGCTCGTGGTCCCGGCTGACGTCGTGGTCAAGAACAACAAGACAGCTCTGGTGTTCAACGCTACGAGCGCTGGACGTGCTGCAGCTATCAACCAAGGCCAGCTTTACAGTGCTCACTTGAACATTTGGAACCCGACGGGCGTGACGTCGCTGTTCGGCGGTGCCATCGTGGGTGGTGCTCACAAGGTGTCGAAGAAGCACGTTGTGGCAATGAAGGGCGGCGTGTCAGTGTACGTGCCGTGCAACAACCTCGTGGAGCACCCGAAGGCTGCTATTTTCGTCGACAAGGCTGGAAAGGGCGTGAAGTCGATCTCTTCGGCGGAAGCGGCCGCGTTGGTGAAGAAGGTGGACGCTGACGTTGACACGGAGAAGTTCCAGGCGCTACTTACGAAAGCCGATACCAAGAGCTTTGTTGTGTCGAGCGACGCAGACGTCGAGGCAGCGTTGGCGAAGCTGTAAGAAGATGAACTCGGAAGGGTGGGGTCAAGTAGAAAGCACCAGCCGGAAAAGCGAATGCAGAGAAGAGCGTGGCGAGACTTGCAGCCGCCTATCGTCGTCACCACTTTGGTGTGTCGGTGTTTGCTGACACGGGACCTGATGTATGCGTCGTGAGCACTGCTTGCCTCTTTATCCGACATGGCGACAGGACACTAACTCAGTCGCAGGCTGTCAGTTCATTTCTTGCAGACACCTTCAGCTTCTCGTGTTCCTTCAGCCTCATCCTCGTCACCGTCACCGTACCAGTCGCGGCAACTCTGCCTTGTCCATTAGCAAAGGATCTCTGTATCCCAATGCTTTGCAGCCACATGCTTAGCACGTGCAGGTTCAACATCGCTGCATCGCTTGACCGTAATCCGCGAAAAGCTCATGCAACTTTCGTCCATCGAGTCCTCCTCTTCGTCCATTCTGTCACGCTACAAACAAGCACCTCGTCATTCTGGTCACTTCCATCGCATCGCAGCACATGAGCCCATGGGGACTAGTTTAATATACTTTCATTTGTTGACCATTACATCGAAATGAACATCGTCTGCCTTCCATTCACGGCGTCGCACAACCGGACGGACAAAAGGACCACACGCGCACGCCATTTCTGCACACAATCGCCGCGCGCTGCCGTCCCTTGCCCTCTGCTCTACGCACGCTGCATGCCCCGAAGGTTGGGCCCTGTCTCTCTCTCTCGTTTCTCTCTTCGTCTTTGTCTTCTCTTCGGCGCAGACGCACGTCTCCACCAGACGCAGCCCCGAGCATCTAAGCCAGCTCGAAGGCCTTCCTTCTCTCATCAACCAATCAATCAATCAATATCGCCTCCTCCTCGCCCCGTCATTTTCACACCACCACCTGCAGCAGCAGCAGCAGCAGCAGCACACATAGCCGTAGCTCCAGGACCTTCTAAATCCAGACGCCATCGTCCTCTTGTGCCTCGGCGGCCGCGTCCGACTTGCCCGAGTCTGCACGCACGACGACTGGCGTCGCGTCGCTACCACCTTTGGCGGCCGTGCCCGCAGCTTCCTTCTTCATCCGTGCCGCGCCGTACGAGACGGAAAACTCGAGCGTGAGGAACCACGACATGCGCTCTTCGGCCGAGTCAAAGCACAGCTTGATCGTGCGGCCGCGGTTGAGCGAGCACACAATGCCAAAGCGCTTGCCGTCCCACTCGTTGACGGCGCGGATCAAGCCCGAGAGCGCCAGCTCGGCGTCGTCGTCTTCCGACTCGTAGCAGCTAAAGCTGTCGTGCTTGATCACGACAAAGAAGCGCGTCCAGACCTCGTCGTCCGTGAGGCAGTGGGCCCAGCCTTCTTTGCTCGTGCGCGTCTTGGTCGAGCGCGGGCGCTTGACAGCGGCCGACATGACGGCCATCCAGGCCGCGTACGCCACGTGCGTGTCGGCCAGCAGCCGCACTTCTTTGCCGTTCACCAGGTGGAGCGCCAGGCCATTGTGCTCGGTCGTGAGCGCCGTCACGTCGACAAACTCGAGCACACCGCGCGCGCCGCGACTCGTGTCTTCGCTGTCGTAGTACGTGAGCGTCTTGCCGGCGAGCGTAAAGTAGCGGCGCGCCCAGGACCGCAGCGTCTCCTTCTGCTTGCGCATCCAGCCCTGCATCTGGATCTCGTTCTCGTCCGACGTGGACGACGACGAGTTCTCGGACGACGAGTTGCCGCGCATGATGCTGCGGAAGCTCGTGCCAATGGGCGGCATAGAGAGACACACACACAGAGCGAGCGAGCGAGCGAGCGAGAGACAGAGAGAGAGAGAAAGAGAGGCAGTGGTAGTGTGGGTGGGTGGGTGGGTGAAGAGGTAGGCAGGTAGGCAGGCAGACGCGCAGACACGCAGTGTGGAGGTGGTGGAGGTGGTGGTAGAGAAGCTGCTGTCTCGCTTTTTCGCTGGCTCGCTGACTTGACGGGCCGAGGGAGTTTTCGAGCCGAAGCGATGGGTTTTTATTTATTGATTTTGTGTTCGAGTGGGTTTATTTTCTCCTCCGTTGTCGTCGTGGTCGCGGTGGTCTTTTTGGTTGTCTTTTTGGTCGTCTTTTTGGACGTCTTTTTTATTGATTAATTGATTATTTCTTATATCGTGTTGGTAGACGGCGTGTGGGGGATGTGGGTGTGGGTGTGGGTGTTTTTTTTTCGTTCTTTCGACGTGGGTGTGGTGGTGGGTGTATATTATTTTTGGTTGCGCTTTTTCGTTTTTGTTTTCCTGGACGAACGAGAAGACAGTTGTGGTGGCGCGGCGGTCGGTCGGTCTTTTTTCTGGCCGGCGAGAGTCGTTTGGCGTGAAAAAAGTGAGAGATGGATGACTGCCACATAACCTGACCCCGACCCCCATCCCACTGCTACGACACGATGGCGACCAAGATATATTTAGAAGGGAGTGGGGGAGTGGGTGAATCAGCGAATGGGTCCATCGAGCGGGCGAGCGATGGGTGGGTGGGTGGGTGGACGGGTGAATCCATCGATCCATCGAGATGTGACGGGTCGGAAGGACGGATGGGTTTGAAACCCTGTTGAACTTGCTCGCCCACCGCTTCTTTCACTCGGTTTCGCGCCAGTGGCGTCGCAGCCACTGGGTGCGGGGTGTCGCTAACGGCCGAAACGCCAATTTTCACGGGGAAATACCGTCTCACAGGTCAATGGCGACCAGGAAGCGCTGGCAGCCAGTATGCGATCCCACAGGTTCTTGAAACCCGTCGCGGTCTCGGCCGTTGCCGCACGTACCCCAACCAACGCCCGCGACACGCTCGTCGCCGCGTCCCTTCCGCCCCACGCAACTATCTGCGTATCTTTCTCCCTCGCCTTCTTCATCGCTATCGTCATCCGCATCCGCTCCAGTATCATCATCATCATCATCCTCATTATCCATTGTCCCCTGTCCTTCGTACACCCGTACACCAACAGCCACTCCCACCACACTCCCGACTCGCTCCTCCCTCCCCGTTGAGCCATGAAGACCCAAGTGTTTGCCGAGTGCGAGGAGCAAAAGGAGCGCGTCAAGGCGTGCTACGGCGGCTGGTTCCAGCGGCTCTGGGGCGGCGCGTTCGACCAGGCCGACTGCGAGCAAGAGACGCAGGACTTTCGGCAGTGCGTGCACGACGCCATGCAGCGGCGCAAGAAGGAGGCCAAGAACAAGCTGAGCGACGACGACTATAGCTGGATGGAGCGGGCGCGCGACGAGGCCGACGACATGGCGGCGAGCGCCCAGTCGCGGGCCCGCGAGGCGCGCGATCGCGCCTACGACGAGAAGGAGCGCGCCAAGCACAAGATGCAGGACACGGCGGCGGACGCCAAGGCGCGGGCGCGCCAGGCGCGCGATCGCGCCTACGACGAGAAGGAGAGTGTCAAGCACACGATGGAAGAGACGGCGTCGGACGCGAGGGACAAGGTGCAGAGCACGGCGTCGGACGCCACGAACAAGGTCAAGGGCACGGCGTCGGACGTGGCGTCCAAGGTGCAAGAGACGGCGGACTCGTGGGCCGACAAGATTAAGGGACTGGCCAAGTAGGTGGGCCTCCGCTCGCTCGAGCGCGCTGCTCGGCACGATGCGTGCATGCGGACGGAGCTATCGGGGCTGAAGTAGCAGTAATCGGGCTGCGGCTTTGGGCGGTGTGGGACACACGACGGTAGGTTGGTCTGGTTAAATTTCCTCTGCATTTGCAAGCCCGTTTATAAGGCGACAATATATTCTTTTTTCCATTTCCATCATCGAGTCGAAGCGGTGCAGCAAACGCGTGCCAAGCTGTTTTGTGTATACAAACGTCAAAGGTATACACTGCATGCACACGGCTCTTTTGTAACCTATTGGCCACGAATCAGATACTACCCGGCCAGAAACGGTATTATCGACACCTTAGTCCGTGACTACCGCATCGACCCTGTGGAAAGCAATACTCGCGTTCTCGTCGTCGACGCGACCCCGTCATTCTCGAACGTTCCGTCACCGATCGCCCACGCGCGTCACGTGCCACTGTCCCCACACGTCGCAGACGCACTGGAGTTTCCAATTTACCTCTTCGGTCGACGCGTTTGTGTACCCACTCGACCACACCCCATTCGCACAAGTAGAATGTCGAGTCCGCCGTGGCGCCCACGTGCCCTTGCGCTCCTCGCGCTCCTCGTGCTCAGCCTCGTCACGCCCATCAACTACGCCATGGACACGAGCAAAGACTACTACAAGATCTTGGGCGTGCGCGAGGACGTGTCCGACCGCGAGCTCAAGAAGTCGTACCGCCAGCTCGCGCTCAAGTACCACCCGGACAAGGCCGAGAACGCAGAAGACGTGGAGGTTGCCAAGGAAAAGTTCGTCCAAGTGTCCGAGGCCTACGAAGTGCTGTCGGACGCTGAGAAGCGCAAAGAGTACGACGACGCGCGACGCTATGAGCAGTTTACCAGTGGCAAGGCGGGCGGGTTTGGGCAACCGCAACCCGGCGCGGGCGACCGCACGGCCGACGAGGCCATGGCGTCGTTTACGAAGATGTTTGCGGATATGTTTGGCCAAGGCTTTGACGAGGGAGCCTTTGGTGGTGCTCCGTTCGGACAGGGACGCGGTGCTGGCGGTGCTGGCGGACGGCACAAGGAGTTCCAGTTTAGCGGCATGGACGGCTTTGGCCGTGCGGGACCACCGCCATCGGCTGAGAGCGGGTATTACGTCGACCCGCGTGTACGACAGCCAACGACGTTGTATGGCTCGGAATCGCCGGTCAAGTCGCTGTCGAAAATGAAGTTCCCAGGCAAAGACTCGAACTACGAGTGGCTGGTGCAGTTTTACGCCATGGACCCGCCGTGTGCCGAGTTCCGGCTGAAATACGAGAAGATTGCGCGGGATCTGAAAGGCAAAATGCGCGTGGGCGCAGTGAACTGCAGAAAGCACAAGATGTTCTGTCGGGCACATGGCGTTCAGAAACCTCCGGCGTTCTTTTACGTCTGGCAAGGCCAATTCAGCAAGTTTGAAGGCAAGATGGACGAGTACGAAGTATTCAGCTTTGCTGTCGACAAGCATCTTGAACGCTTGCGTCGATTGCGCGAGTCAGGCGAGATTGAAAAGCTGCATGCTGGCAACGAAGCCACGTTGTGCAACGTAGGCAAGCGAGCCAAGTCCACGACTACGTCTCTTTGCACAGTGTTTGTGCTGTCTAGTGACGAGACGCAGCGCGAGAAGGAGATGGAGGTGGCAAAAGAAGTTGCTGCCAAGTTCCGCCACTCGAAGGGTCTGAACATTGCATACGTTGACTGGAAGACCCAGGAGCAAATGGTACAAAAGCTCGTGCGGAAGGCCGCTGGCCGCAGTGATAGTCAGCATCAACCCGGGCTTCTCGTACTTCGAACGAAGCGGGGGAAGACGCGTGTTGGCATGCATGCGTTGGACGCCGGTTTCACCACCGATGCTTTGTCCGCTACTATGGAACGCGCTGTTGGCGGAGACTTGCCGCTGAAAAACATGCGCGATACGGTGCATTTCCGTTGACGCTCTCGTTTGCGTTCGGGACTTCCGATCGATTCGGCTGAATAGAATGTCTGTTGCTCTGTACTTGCGAAGTCTTCTTGGAATCATTGTGCGTAGGTTTGTTTTGACAGTCTTTAGGTACTGTGTACTTGTCGTGTGTGGAGGTGTGTACATGCAATACATGTAACTAGACGTGCTTCGTACCAAGTAGTGTAGACCATACAAGTTATCCACAAGATGGCTTGCAAGGTGCAAGCTGTGACATGGACAGCAAGAAAACAGACAGCGTGAGCGCCATCTCTGAACGAAGTGGCACCTCATTTAGACTGACTGTCGTCATGTGTGTCAGCATCGTGGAAGCGCCAAAGCATTATTCCACACCACGTTAAACTTCGAATACGGTAATGCAAGACGCATAAACAGGAGCCGAAGTGCCTTTCGTGATCGCAGGACCGTCACATGCGAATGTGGTAATCCTATCACTTCGAATCGACGCGATCGTAGCCCCGAGGTCCTTGACATCGTCTCACGAATCCACAGCTGTCCAGCCACTTGGCTCGTGACTGGGATGCCACAGCATCAGCGTCATTACGACAGAGCATTTTTTCCTCAACCGATCCGTGCCAGGCAAATGACACCAAACATGTAGCTGTGTCCGAAGCAACGTCAGCACCCATGTCTATGCAATGGGGCACCGATTACAAGTGGAGACTGCAACTGACAGAGTTGTCAATCTAATTCTACCGCCACTCAGCTTTCTGTATGTCGCATGAACGTATGATGACCGCATGAGCAATTGAAGGGACGGTGTCAAGTTTTATGCGCACAGCAGTCGTGATCGAACCTGACTGCGAGCAAATGATCGAGTGTTGCATTGCGGACGTTGCACCGCCATACGCATGAGCTAATACAACTTACAAGCTTTCTCAGTGGACCTTGAACGTAAACAAGTTTGACTCGGTGTAGACACGGACACGCAAGGTTCGCAAAGGATAGCAAGATGTAACATGCTTATTGTCATCCCCTATAGTACGCAATGCAATGCTACCACTCAGTGCAGTAATTCTGGGCGAGCACAGCGTCAAGTAATGCCCACAAAATTACCAGGTTGCACCACGAAGCAAATGCCATTGTTATACACCCGTTAACATTCACTTGAGCTCATGAAGCACCCGTTTGGGTACCGGTGAGCCTGGTCGCTCGTAACACGATGTATTGCGGACAGGAAATCTGATACAGGCATGACACAGCTTTATTTGTAGTGATATAGGTGTAAGATAACAGTAAACAGTAACACATACAGTATTAGGGCCGGGCCTAGCTATCGTTGATGCTTGTTCGGTCAGTCAACATTTGCTTGGAAAAGGAAAGAGCTGAAACGAACACAAATACACCGAAGCTTCGGTAAAAATTCTTCTTGCAAACCCAACACCCTATGTATCGTTCTCTTCTCCAGTAACTTCATCAACATTGCGATGTTGTGTCCAAGCACTATTAAGATTAACGTAATGAGGTGGTGGCCATTAGCTGACACTGGTGAGCGAAGAAATTCAAGGTGAATCGGCCAAAGAAGTTATATATCATCACGATGATTGTAACTTTACCTTAATAAACAGATATGTGTACGGATGATAACATTGTGCACGTGGATCAGGTCGGCCATGATGTCAACCTACTTTAAGCTTACTAAGGTCACGCACGCAAGGCATGATGAGCGAATATTTGTAGCGTATGTTGGTGTTAGACATAGTTGATAGAATCTTACAACGTAATGTATATCAATCAGACCGACTACATTATATTCAGTTCCCCTTTTTTCTCATTATACAGTCTTTTAAGCAATCGCTTCTTGCGCACAGTGCACGCAAGTATCGGGTGCACCAGATTCCACCGTCATCGATGTAGGTACCAATGTGCTCGATTCGTAAATGAAGTGAGTATATATTTTCACTGATGCGCTCTTCAAACAAACGGATACAAACGTTTCCTCCTGGTTTCCCCCCAACTTAAGTTTGATTGCCACTCAATTTACTACTCGATTTCTAACGGCTAATGCAAAAGCTATAAAAAGCGTGAAGGGAAAGTGTAGCGGAGCTACACAGCTCCTTAAGTCAGAGGAAGAATTAACGCTCTTACGAGCAACTTTAATTCTACGAAGCCGACTCAAAGAGTCAACAGCTCCGAGAGCTAAAAGGTGGTTCAAAGAACCCGACTCAAAGATTCCACAAGCTCAAAGAGCTTACGGTCCCTGTTCCAAGGGAACCAAACGATTCAAAGAATCAACCGCACTAAGTGCACAAGGAGTAGCTGCCTTAGCAAGGCGTTGCTACTTCCTTACGATCGCAAGACGCCTCAGAGAGGCACGTGTCTTTTGTTGATCAAAATGGGAACTGAATTTTACTTCTTCTTTTAACCTAAAAGAACACCGTAGAACAAAGTAAATAACCTACTCACTTATGTTCTAAATAAACCTATTAAAAGGTCTCGTAATCAATTTTTGACAGACATCAGTCTTCAACAATTGATACTTGTGTTCTAATATTACTTTAAAGGGGATCCCATCCCTTGTGTGTACCACACATATTGTCGACTATCAGTCGACGTGTAACCCCGTTACAGAAAGGCTTAACAGGCATGGAATTGCGCACAAACGGTACTAGCGGGCCCAGTGACAGCATATGCTGAGCGCGATATCAAATTCCCAAGTTCACGTCGTCCATCATACTAAATTTTTGCAGTTGCATAATACATCAGTGGATACGATGGCACACGGAATGTCGCCGCACCAGCTATCGCTACAAAATCTTTCGCAAGTCGTGGTTCGGTTCGATGAGGATTGTTATGCAGCCACCATCTTTTCGTAGTATTCCACGATTGCCAATGATGTATGATAAGTTATTTATTGAAAAAAGTTGATTTGTCGCTCGCCTTCTCACGTCGTCAAGTAATCATACTACGGAACAGGCAAAGCCATCGTTTCTCCAGTGGGTATTGTCCATGTTGAAATATGTAACTAGCCAAAAGCTGATCTGTTACGAAAGTGCATCGATGGAGGCGCTGAGTCGTCGTAAGATGTAAGATGAGAAGGCGCTATGCTCCTCGGAATACGACAGAAGCCATGGCATCCGTAGCGAAAAATTTGAGCTCGGGTCGTGCGTTATGCTGCATGTTTTGATTATACATTGAAGGGTAAAGGTTCTGACAGACAAATGTAGATATTCGTCAATGCATGCTATATAGGACACCATACCATCACAGTGCGATAGGTCGTTCTAATCAGCCGTCTACGGATCACATAGGGATTGTAAACGACGCGTATCGTGCCGTTGTTGTCATGTCACGATTTGTACAACTAATATAAGAATCGCATAACTTACAGGTAACATTGGCCAGAACCCATCTAAAATTGCGATCGCAATATTTCTGGATAAAGCAAGCTTTACTTGATGTCTGTCTTCTTAGCATCCAGCTATATAGGATCGCATCACGTTTATAGACATGCAATAATATTTGATTGGAGATCTTGGCATACCCTTGACATGTATTCTGCAAATAATCTGCTACTCCAGGTAGAGTGCGCATATCTCTTCACTGACTGTCAATGGCCAGTATATACTTTACCTTCCGCCTCAGACTGTACGACGGAACGATCAGGGCGGTGCAGTGGGATAGCCACGGCGGTTTGACCGGGAGGTTACGGGTTCGAGTCCCATCAGATGCACAGCTCTATCAAGACTAGGATCAAATGCAAAGCCGCGCCACCGACTGGGCTCTCAAATGGGTCGCAGCCGGTAGGCAATGTGAAGCAAGCGTGCAAAAAGGTACGCCACGGAGTCGCAAATCCTGTAAGTTACTGATCGCAGGTATCTGGGAGTTAAGGCCCGTTAGTAAAACTTCCTGGGTAGAAATAACTACATAGAATGTAGACGGACTTTTCATGACGCAACCAAGAAGTGTATTTCTACAAAAAAATAAAAAAGACACTTCTTATAATTGGCTCACAGATTACGAATAGAAGGGTTCTTATCATTTTTTGACGCGAAACCCATCCACTTCAACGTTTACGACACAGGTCCTAAGTGGACGAAGACAAAGCTGTCAAAATGTAGAATACAGGTGCATAATCGCCAAACAGAGTCGACAGATGCGACATACATCTATTACATGCGGAAGGAAGTAGTTATTAATCTCGCAGCATATCTTGCCCATACCAGATCATCGAGTATGTGCGTTTACTGCCAGATGTGTATGGCGTCCGGGTATGATAGATACGATTGATCAGACTTGTGAACGGACAAGGCCTTATTTAGTGTACCATCTATGATTGCATACTTCTCCGGACCTGGCGTCTACATTGCTACCCGTTGAGTCATTCAACGACCAAAGAGTAAAGACATCCCCTTATATCAATGAAATAGCGCACACAGAAAGATAGACATCCATGCGTAATTGTCACTTCATCACATGCTCGCTTCTTGGCGGTATTTGCTAAGTCGTCGATCGCAATGCTTGTACACACGAAAGTGGGCAATTCTTAAAAACATAGTACCTCGGATATAAATTCCGGCAGATCTCAAAACACGTGTCGTTTCTATTATGCAATTTGCATAGTTCAGATTGTATACGGAATATTCTTTTATCGGTACAAAGCCTTGTAGATCATTTCAATGTGGTAAAGTCACTAATCAAATGATGGGACGTGGATCGGTGGCCACCCAGTTAAGGTGTCACTTACTGGTGAAAAAGGAGGCCATGGGACCTGGCGATCCAATAAGGTGGTGGAAAACGGTCTCAACGGGGATCGGCGATCTGGTCCAACTGTTACCAGACTGATGGATATGGATCGACCTGAGACAAAGCGATCTGGGACAAGACGACAAATAGAACGATTTCCATGGATCGATCTGGGACAAGGATCTGGGACCAGGTGATGTGATATGACTCTTTGACGAAGGTGTAACATCCTGCAGATCGGTGACACTCTTTACCGGTCTCCCAGAGGGAGTACTGATTTAGGTTAA